GGAATTAGACCACTTCATAAAAAACATTCTCAACGCGGAAAGAGACAGATTCTAAATGATACGTTATCTTCAGTTCCAACGATCTTAGAGAAAGTGTGTAATTCCCAATGATATCAGTTTTACTTCCGTATTGTACAAATTATTGACATATACATGGTGTTGAAAAAAACAGGTGACCCCCTCGCTAGGGTAGGTACACTTTTGATTTAAAAATAATGAGGTAATATCTGATGCTGATATATAAAATAAATATTATTGAGATCAATTACCTGTTTATTCAAATTCAAAAACAATTACATTTTTCTTGTGCTAAAGTTATTGATTGACAAAGAATAACAAGTAGAAAATTGAGATAAATTTCACTAAAAATGTAAAATATTAAATTAAAAGTTGTTAAATTTTGTCTTGCTACTCTCGAAGTGAATTTACCTCTGTAGCATAGACTGATACAACCAAACTGTGTAATCCATGTTTTAGTAAAGTTTATTTCAATGTTATTCTTGTGATTCATTGTTTAATTAATATGTTCAGCATTAGAATATTTTTGTTTACGGTTTTCAATAAATAGGTGATCGTTTTCCATAATACTTACTCTAATAGTTATCACTTCATCATTTACAATTCAAAACATTCCGAAAACGGTGTCTACACAGTATCCTACCAGGAGTACCATTTTGGTGTGAGATTCAATGATGTTAATGTTCACATTGAATTTGGATTGAAAGATCTATATATCCTCAAAAAAGTTAAGTTTAAATTAACTACTCTGTAAGAACCGTGTAACTAGCGCCCTCTATGAGAGTCAGTTATAAAAACAAATTCATGCGATGTGTCAGCTTCCAAAACATATCCATACAAAATTTCATTACAATGTTGCCAGTACTTTCGACATAATCATAAGAAATGTGTAAACATATTTTTTTTTCAATACCTTGTATCTTGAAAACGGATGTCCTTACGAAATTTTTTCATTGCGCAAACCCAACTTATTTTGCATTGCTCTTCCAATGCCCTAGCAAAGGTTACTTTTTTTTAAACACCCTGTATATACGGTTGAAATCGATTTCATTCGAAAACGATGCATTTTATCAGAACATGGAATAAAAGTACCTAGACACCTAACAAACTCTTTTTTTGTAGAAGCTCAAAAAGTGATATTCTAAATATATTACAAAGGTGCATGCAAAGAATTCGAGGTGAAATTTTTCCAAGCCCAACCTCTTTGGATGCTCAAAAGTCCTTGAACAAAATCCAAAATTTATTGTTCCCCTTTTTATTGAGAAACACAATTAGTGTCATGCTTTTTTTACCCCAAACAGTATTATATAGAGGTTGCAGTTCCTTCAATAATATTCCACAAAATTTCGAGGTCGTATTTTTTGGGTCAAAATAAGAAAAATATGTTCATATAAACACATGTTCGAAAACGATTCGTTTCCGAGATACAGATTGCTCTTGCACTGCCACATATGCCTGATTCGTTGGATAAGTTATGAAATTAAATACCATCAATACCAATAACACGTATGTTCCTAATTATATGAACAATTACGGTTCCAACAAATGAATTTTTACGTATATACAAGCGTCCACAAATCTGTATATGACTCATTCAACAAATATATTGTTTAGCATGATAAAGTTTCATTCATCCTATTCATATTCATTGTCGGAATATTTTTCTCGTCGACTATTACCATGGCCGTATTTATAAGTTTTTACTTGAATCACTTGAAATATCTCTGGAAATATACAGGGTTTTTCAGAGTTGTCGTGTGACAAAAGCCTTTAAGGGAAATTCCTTTCAACAAAATATGAAAAAAAGTTCATTAGAACATGGACAACATGGGCCCGAAAATGCTTCGTTTCCGAGATATACGGTGTCCAAGTTAAAAAAAAAAGTTTTTCATTAAAATCTTGAAAAAATATTTCTCACAAAATTTGAAAATCGTTTACATATCTTATTGAATTCTAGGACTTTTTTGTTTCCATAAATAATAATAATGTGTAATACATTTTTGGATATTATCAAAGCAGTTTTATTTTTCCTTACAGAAATGTTGTAGTGTTGAAGTGTTTAGTGAATATTTCTGAAAATTTAAGAACCCGACGAAAAAAACAAAGGGTGACTTTTTCCTGCCCGATGGGTATACGCCCCTGAAAATTCTGGATCAAATCGAATTAGTCCAGTAAATGTCTGATGATTACGTAAATAAACCATGGAAATTTCATTCAAATCGGCTCAAGTGTTTTCAATACCTATTGATGAAAAACTCATTTTTTCAAACTTGGACATCCTGTGTATCTCCGAAACGATGAAACGAAGCATTTTCGGACCCTTGTTCATATGAACTTTCTTACATATTTTGTTGAGACGAATATATCTCCTAGGCTTCTGTAACCACAACTCTGAAACACCCTGTATACACCGTCGTCGGGTGACAATAACGAGACAAAACTAGATTATTCCAAATGAATCTCTCTCATTATTTTATATCAATAAATACAGCGATTTGAAATTCAAGGAATATGCATCTATGACATATTATATCTACCACTCAAAAATAGTACATATTTGATCTATGATATGGATGAGATGATGACTACCTACTTCAGATAAAGGATTTTGGAGAAATATACTGATGGGTGTTTCATGTTTCAATCAAAATATGCTCCAGTACCTATATACCTACCTATCTAAGTGGTCATCGAAATATTTATTATTGTCAACTCCAAATTCAGACGAAAGTCACAATTCAATATTATTATTTTTACAAAGAAGTTCAACAACTGTTTTCTGAACTCATTTGAAAAAATTATATCTAGATTAGGTTGAGCATGACTAGAGCACTCTGTGAGCTAGAGCACGAAAAACCACGTTTTGCGTCTTTGTCTAATTACAGTTTTCTGTACCTACTCTATTATATGCAGCAGATTACACACTCGCAGTTTCCTTAACCGCATAGATCTCTGCAACGATCACGTCGTGAGCCGATAATACAATAGCGGCAAATTCGAGAACTAGTTGGGTAGGAAAATAATTTATGCTCCGCTTCATCAAAGGACGGTATCTGCAATTTTGTCATTATAAGGTCATTTTCAAGTAAAAAAGGTTTGCTGAACCCGAATCTGCTAACAAAAATGATCTCATCTGAAAGGAAAATCCTCCTAGAACAGATATATAAAATGATTTTTTATGATACGTCATACCTTCACTACATGAAAATGCCTCATGTACATTTTGATCAAACAAAATGCCTTATCTACGCCAGTACTGTAGTTGAGGCACAGATTAATTTGTTTGAGGCATTTCAACTCAACAAATTTCATCGAAGTAAGTACCTTATGTACAGATTGGCCAATGAAAGGCACTCATCTACGTATATCATTGTACCTTTGTACCTAAGTGGTTGAAGTTTCATACAAGCGTCGAAACGTCTAGCTGGACCAGTGAATCTTCAAACATCGAAGTCAAGTGATATCACCCACAACACTACAACTACTCAAGGGGTGGCTTAGTGGTTTCTGTATCTAACCTGACTTCCACGGTGGGGAATGGGGTTCAATCCCTGCGAGGCGTCCAATTTTTTTAAAAATGTTTTTCACTTAATTAAGTTTCAAAAATATAGTTTTCAGGAAAAAGGTTCATCAAGGACAGGTTAGGTTGAAAGAACTTTCCTTTTTCATGCAGAAGAGATATTTTCCTTCCTCATGTTACTTTATGTCTTATAAACAGGAACAACCGTCTGATGACCTTGAGGTTTGAAAGATTCACAATATAATTGTTTTTTTTATACCACTTCATACTATCACTTTGAACTTTTAGGTACGTGTGTAGCGTAGTTGCTTGGGTATTTGAGTGTCATGTCGGCCCGAGTTGAATGCCTGCAACGACATCTTTATTTTTATGCTGTTTTCTCAAGTAATTTTCCGAAAAATAAAAGTACTCTTAAGAAAAAAGGTTCATTTAGGCCAAGTAGGGTTAGGTTGTTGAAAAAGAGTAGTCCTCTTTCTTATTCAGAAGGGATATTTACCTTCCTCTCTGACCACCAGTTACTGTTGAGGCCGATAGTGATTCGCTATTTCAAAGATTATTTCCTCAGATTTTGAACCAATCAGAACGTTCAATTGAGCTGAGCTATCTTGTAAAATTTATACCCAAGATAACATCAACCATCGGCCCAGCATTTGTAACGCACATCTCTCCCGGCAGTTCATGTCCTTTTCCGGCTTCGAGGTGTCCAGGCGGCCGCCAGCCGGCCGTAATACACATTTCCGGCGATTAAATTATTGACTCAGAACTCTCAGAAGTGCTACAGCAGCAACAAATTTCAATGCACTATTGATGGGAGCGCTCAGCCACCAATGTATATGCGCTTGCAAATTCGTATCAAGGAGGATGAGTTCTTCAAGCACAGGTCCCAAACATCTTTTTGATAACTTGATTATAGTTGGTGACTTGACAACCTTGCTTCATGAGTGGAAATGGAAGATTACTTGACCAATCATGAAACAGCATAAAAACTGACTCATGAAGGTTCTTGAAATGAGCTCTGTAATTCTACAATTTCAAACAAGGCAAAGACTAATTATTTACATAAAAAAGCATGAGAAGAGTTGCAAAAATTAATTCGGGTTCTTAAGGACACAGTGGAGCTATTGAATGCCAATAATTCATCATCAGTCCACTCGCCCAAATTTAAATGTGGGTCAAATAAAAAGTAACTATTATTAAAAGAGCATTTTTATAAACACCAAATTCCAAATGGATAACTAACATTATGAACTTAATATAATATGTATGGTAACAATGTATCTCAGTTTTATCAGAGACTAATAGTCTCTGGTAATTATTATAGAATCTATCAGTGCAATTTGCAAGTTTAAAATATATAGAGGTGGAAGATTTTACATATTGATTTTATTTTTTCAAACACATTTAGCCCATGAATCAAGGGATTATCTGGTGACCTAGCTTTCAATTTGTTTTGTTAACAATTTCATGACAAAAATTCCAATGTTGGATAGTTTATGAAACTAGTCTATCTTGTTTTTTTTGGACTTATTTTCCAAATCAGATTCAAATTGTAAATCTTCATTCAGTCTCTTTGCTAGGAAATACAATTCTGCTAGAGCTATAATTAAAGCACACATGATGCCAAGTAGAAGTCTAAATCCAAAATCTAGATTTCCACTAACCAACTCTATACCTATGAAACCAAATGCAAAACCTGCTGCTACTGAGAGAATGAACTGGAAAACTGCTATCAAATGCCTATTCATCTGCTTCACTAAAATTTAAATAATTGAATCATAAATAATTTTACAAATAATAGTTTTTGAAAAAGTAGTGAAAAACTTTTTATAAATAGACATTCATTTTGTACTCACACTGATAAGCTATTGTATCTTCAGGCAACCTCCTTTTTGTATTATCAACATTTTTGGTCATTTTATAATAATCTCTATTATCCTGCTGAGCTTTCAGCTTCTTGCACCTTTCATCTAACTCAGCATTTCTAGGTACCTCTTTATTCTTGGGTAGGACTATTTCTGAACCACTAATTATTTCATGAAGGTAGATTTTGTCACTATGTTTCTCATTCTCTCTTCTGATATACTGATAAAGCCAATGAAGGTCATGTAAACTCAGCAGACTATTTGTATCAGTAGCAGTAGCAGTTGACACAGTATATGATGGCAGCTCTGTGATTTCATTAGGGTAGTCTATTTTGAGAGATTTGATGAAATATCTGTCTTTGTCTGTTAGCAAAAATTTTATCTCATGCTGTACTTCAGTTGTATTCTTGGATTTATTTTTGAAAACTATATTACTTATGCCCATTGGTGGATTCTCAACATGTTTGAGGTTCTTTATATATCTTCTGAGTCTTTCAGAAGGTTTTATCAAAATATGGGGATCTGATATTTGAGCCTTATTGGATGCCATGATCAAACAATCAAATGAACAGTTTTTTCTCAATATCCTCAAATAGTTGAGCAATATCCAGCTCTTTTTCTTTGAAATTACTATCAATTTCTGAATATATTGTTTCCATGAACTCCTCCCATGCAAGTTTACGTTTGAACTGAATATCTTCTATAGTTGTATCTGTTTTAATGGTTTCTTCTAAATTTGTAAATCTATTACATTCATTTAGGGCTTCATCAAGTTGTTCATAGATGTTTTCTACATGATCTTGCAACTGAACCAAGTTATCAATTCCAGTATCTTTGATTTCTGTGATATTTTCTATAACATTGAATAAGCTATCAACTTCTTTATCATTTCGTTTGGTCTGTAATGAAAAAAATCAAGTTGCTCATTGTGAAAATATCACAGCTGAATAAACTCACTTGGAATTCACGTAACATAAATGCAATTTCTCCGCTCAAAAATCCTTTATGGTCAAAAATTCTGTCCCATACTTTTCCTATATCTGAAAACAGTTGAAGACAACAATAAAATAGAGTAAAAGTGTATAATTTTATCGCTTCAAACCTTTAACAACTTCGGACATTATCAGAACACAAATTTTGAAAAGTACATGGTTTTTTAAGAACTTCTCACAAGATAAAGTTAATAAAAATATATTACTTTCCACAGCACCGAAACTCTAATCACATATCACATGACAATATTGACAATCATGACATGAGTCACATGATCACAACGAAACCAGACCAGCTGACAACATGGTTGCCAACCTAACCTGCACGAATTCAATACTACCAGAATTGAATCATCTAGAGGCGTGAAAGATACAGGGCGCAACAAATAATTCGTGCGGAAATAAGTTTACAGAAAATTTCCGAGTGGCGACACTGGCGACAGGCCGATGAAGGGACATGGGGCGGGAAGGGACCCGCCACCCCAATCTTAGGCGAGTTGGCAAATTGAGTTTGGAAAAGTTTCACAAAAAAAACGTTCATGGTAAATAGTTGATACGCGTCGTGAGACAACACAACCTCGAGCTGAAATCGTATTCTTTTTTAGTCGGAATTCCGAGTTACTACTTGAAATTGTGAGTTACAAGTTGAAATTCCCAATTACAACTCGGAATTCTGAGTTACAAGTCGGAATTTCAAATTTCAATTCGGAATTCGGAGTTACAACTCGAAATTGGAATGAAAATAAGTTGATGGCCTCTCTACGCCTTCGTACTTAGGGCCGATAGTGATTCGCTATTTCAATAAATTTGTTAGAACAAAAAATTAATAATTCGAATTGATCACCCTAGGTGAATTAATGATAAACGGTTTCCTAGAACGTATTCAATGTGAAACTGAAAAAATATAGAAAAAACATGGAATAAAGTAAATTAACTGAAATAAATAGTTATTTATACGAAGTTTTAGGAAAACATTCTTCATGAATCCACAGAGGGTGATCAATTCGTATCAATAATTTTTTCAACTACGAAATAACCACAATGCACAAAGTGGAATGAAATGAACAACTGGTAGATTTCGGGAGAAAAACAACTACTTTCCTGGCTAATGCCACGCAGAACATTGAATTACATCCTCCCGAAATCTATATATGCTTCGACTCGTATTAACGCATACTGATACAAGTGATTATTTCCTGAATGCCTATTGAAATCAATAGGCATGTTAGGGTAAGTCTAGCTATTTGCTTGTGGATCAGGAGCTTGTTGTCCATAGTCAGCGGATACAAGCTCCTGATTACAGCGTTGGCCTCAGCGAAACGATATTTGGTGTTGCGAGAAAGTTCATACGACTACCAGGTATTTCACAGTGGCCTTACCCTCCACCTCATAGTCTCTGAATAGCTTCATGTTAGTAAACTTTCTGCTCAAGTTGATGATTTCCGTTTTGGCTTGATTTATTCCAATCTTCGCGTTGTCGAAGTACGTTAAGACCCTCCTGTCCAGGAGGTACTGGATCTCCACCGTGGCGACGTCTAGCACGAGAGTGCGTATACAGCGGTATACTCTCGTACAAAGGAGGGTCGCACGTATATAAAGGTGAATTTTCGCAATAAAGTGATATTGTTAATATCTCTGTTCTCTCGGCGGGCTAGATACGAATCGATCAACCTAACAATAAACATGGGAATCCCTGCAGACGCCAACTTGCACATCAGCCCCCCGTGCCAACGGTGTCGATGGCTTTTTCAATATCCATCACGACCATAACGGTGTTCTCATCTTGGCTGATGGCTTCTTTGATCCCGTGAACAATACGGGTTACCTATTGAGACATGGTGCTATGTCCTTTTCGGAACCCGAGTTGTACAGGGGGGATCACACTCAGGTCTTCAGCAATATAAACCATATGAAGAATTGTCCTGTCGATCACCCTGGTCACCATGCTGAGTACAAAAATAGGGCGGTAACTACTTGGTTGTTTTGGGTTCTTTCCTGATTTTGAAATAGGTACAACAACTCCAGTCTTGGGAGATTCCGAGTAGTGCTGGTACCTAATAATGGAGTTTATCATGTAATGAAGTTGAATGACTGTCAAGTCCTAGTGTTTTATTTAATCTTATTCATTTGATGTTCGCGCCACCTTCTTCGGGGTGGTGATAGTACTCGACCCAGGACTCGGCGGGACAAAGGGATGCTAGGTATGGCTCGATACCTATAGCTGCCAGCTCCAACATCTCGGCCTGCTGATCATTGGTAGGATTTTTGTGCATCTGGTTAATAGTTTTGAAGTTTCTCCTAAGTATTTCCATCTTCTGTGAATCTGTCACCGCATCCCCTGAACGACTCTCCAGGGCTGGGACGACTTGAAACTTTCTACGGAGTCCCGAATTATTCGTTAGCTTCCACATAGAGTTATCCCGAGGATTCAGATTCTCCACCTTGGCCCTCAGGCGGCATTCCTGACCTCAGGGATTCTCACACACAAGATTGCCGAGACTCTTGACAATGCTTCGAGAGTCGAGACTCGGCCATCCTCAGACGCTGCCAAGTGCGTTTGGCGCGCTTGCGCTGTGCAATGAGACCGAGAATGTCTCCTGGAAGGTTAGCTCTGGCCACCGAACATAAACAGAGACTCTGTTTATGTTCGGTGCTCTGGCGGAACTGATAGTGATCTAGACATTTCCCTAGCCTCCTGGATGTTCTTGATGAGGGTTTGTACCAGTACTCCCCATCAATTTCATCTAGGGGGATATAGCACCACTACACGGGTAATATTTTTGCTGCGGCTAGTGTACTTGTACCACTTGTACTTTGATTCGGCAGAAGCGTGATGGTCATTTTTTTTTAAGTGATTAATCGAAGGGATATTCTTCCTCCCTGAAAAAAAGTACTATAAAGGCATTTACTGTTGGGGTAGATAGTGATTCGATTCGCTATTTCAATGCTGTTCCTCAGTCGGAACTGGCTGAAAATTTTCTGTAGACTGTAATGCAATTACAGATTATTATTAGGACAATTGGAAATATTAATTCGTCTCTGTGCTATAGCTAGACGCTAGTCACTTTGCCGGCTATTGAGGCATTTCCTCATTTCTGTTTTGTGTTCCATTTTCATGTTCCATGGTTGTTTTTGTTTTGTTTATATTTTGAGTTCGCTTTGAGGTTATGATATGCTCTAGTCTAGGCTGTATTTTCACTTTTCAGGCAAATGCAAGAAAGACAAATAAAAAACTATGGATTTTATAGCAACTCTCTACTCAAATTATGAAAAATTAAGGAATAAGGAGATAGTGAACATCCTATGGAAAGAAATTCTCAAAGAAGAACGTTCAGAAGAGTACGTAGATCAGCTGATTGAATACAGCTTTCACTATCCTGTTGATTGTGATGCTTATTTGGAAGAGTTGAATACAAAATTTGATGAACTAAACAAAGAAGAACTACGCACTATAGATGGACATCTTCGTGCTTATATGATAACATTTCTATACTTTTGTACCAATAGATACAACAAAAGGGTGCCTGCCCAAACAACCATGCTGGCATCTGGACTGTACATTAAACTTATATCTTTACCTGATATCGGCAAAATATTTTATGAGAAAAACATGTTCAAAATACAACTTTTTGTCTGTGTCACTGCTGCCAAGGAACAGTCTACTCAAGATTCTTCAAAGATATATTTGATAAAGCTGATAAAAGAGTACTGTTTGAAGGAAACACTTGATAGTTTTTTGTTGAGTGGAGTTGCTAACACAATTACTGGTGTGATGATGATTTCTTGTAGAGGTGTCATATTCAATGACATGTCAAATGGTTAGTGTTGAACATTACCTCTGTGTGAGATTGCTATCAATTATTCATTTTACAGTTCCACATCTACAAACATATTGTATAAACACCATGAAAGAAATAATCATGCATGAAGAAGATGGAGTACGGCTAACAGCTATAATTGAGAGTTTGTTCAGATGTTTGAGAAACAATGTGATGGAAGTAGTTCCTAACAAAGCAGCAGCATTTAGTGTTGTGAGGGTATTTATTAGAGATGTTCTACAAACTGACTTGGATGAAGACAAATTCCAGTACCTGTTGGATGCTTTCTGCCAAATATGGTGTAGAGATGATTTTGATGCATATGATGTAAGATTTAAAAATAATAATTGTTTTTTAATAGCTTAAATCATTATAGGAAGCTGTTGTCATCATGAACATGTTCAAAGTTCAGTACTATAAAGAACTAGTGAGAAGAATAGTACTTTATTCTCAGTCCAGAAATCACAAAAAGTATTTAATAAATATAATGAATCTACTACTTGCAATGGTGCAAAATCTGCCACAATTGCCTTTAGAAAAAGTGGAAGTTCTATTTTCATGTGCTGTTCGTAATGTTGTACTACATTTCATGGATCCAGATAAAAATATTGCCAATAGAGCTATTGAAGTGATCACTAGTATGTGTTCTATCAAAAATAACCCAATGCTCACAATAATATTCAATGTAAGTACTGAGTAGATAGATGCAAAAATATAGCAGTTCATAATTTAAATCTTGTATAGCTCCTAACATGATTGTTTTATTTTTTCTTCAGGAAATTCAGGCTACTGGTAAATTCATCAATATAAGCATGGAAGCTTTATTATTATCATTTGGTGAGATAGTTGATGAAAAATGGGGTGCTTCTCCAAGAAATCAAAATTTGCTAGTGGTAATGGCTAATTTTCTTGCTCATAGCCAAAATGTCAATAAGGAATTGGTTCAAACAGTAAGTCACATGCAATTACCAACTCAATTGTTGAATTATCTTTTATTTGTAGACTCTATTTGCCATATGTAAAGACTGCACCCCACATTCTCTGAAACCTTCTTTGCCAATTTTACATGAATTATTTTGCATCATGGCAATGAAAGATGAAGTTGAAGTAGCAACAGCTATTTTGAGAATAATGTTTAGAAGTGCCATGCATCAAGATGCTACTTCTAAACACTTTGCAGAGGTATGTCATTTCTTGATTGTATTGATATAAATGAATGAATAATTTTTCTAGCATATCTTCAATTCTATGCTGTCTCCATCTGTCATATGCAATACTACATATCCCCAAAAATACTACTCCAACATCTTTTTGACTTCTGAATTTGATTATGAAACTCTATTTACTAAATGTAATAGAGATATAAGGTGAGTAAAGAAATAATATCAATCAGTTCACACCTAGGTTATCCTTCTCAATTTTTTCAGTGATATCCAGATCCGTAATTTGATTCAGGATCTAGATTATAATGAACCTGGAGGGGCTGTGCTACTTTGCTGCCTTTTAGATTATAATAAATATGAAGAGATACCTGTGTTGCTGTCATATTTAGTAGATAACTTTGATGAGGTAAAACATTCACTCATTCCAATGAAAATATGTATTCCAATTTTATGTAAAAAATTGAGGGTATGCACTGTCAAGGAAGTGTATTATTTTTCAAAATTCTGATTCTTATAGATGCCGACCAAGTTGACTTTGGGACACAGCGTGATCCAACATAGGGCCGCTCCGCATGCATTCGTGACCACGTGCTGTCTCAAAGTTAACCTGGCGGCCATTATAAGGTTATACAGGGTGAGTCATTGAAATGGGAAAGTGAGATAATGGCTTTGCTGTTTGAGATAGATGAATAACAATTTTTGTGACGATCTAAGCTCATGAGCAGCATATTTCTAAATTACTTTGCGTATACAGGGTGACTCAAATATGCGTGGCATATCAAAGTTATACTTTTTATTATAGGACACCCTGTATTTTATTGCATTTTCGGATTCTCCTTTGTTAGCTGATTCCATCAATACATCACACTCGGGATCTAGCGGGAATAATTACAGAGATATAGGGTGTTCAAAATCGAGATTTTTCAACCTTTGGATTTTTTTGTGTTGAAACTATTAATTATTGGTCGGAAGCTCACATGTCCGCATCTTAATTTTTGATTTACTATCTACTGATATTTAATTTGGACGAATACAGGGTACTTCAAAATTCAGAATTAAGAACCACCCTCTATTTGTTCAAATTAAATATCAGTATATAGTAAATCAAAAGTTAGGATAGGGACAAGTAAGCCGTTTTGTCCAATAATGAATAGTTTGGACACAAAAAAATCCTAAAGTTGAAAAGTCTCGATTTTGAACACCCTATAGCTCTGGAATTATTCTCGCTAGACCCCCAAGTGGGCTGCATTGATGAAATCAGCTCACAAAGGAGAAACCGAAAATGCAATGAAATACAGGGTGTCCCATAAGAAAAAGTATAACTTTGATTCGTCACGCATTTTTGAGTCACCCTGTATAACGCGAAATAGTTTGGTAATGTGCTGCTCATTAGACTAGACCATCACAAAAATTTTTGTTCATCTATCTCAAACAGCACAGCCGTTATGTCACTTTCCCATTTCAATGACACCCTGTATAGTGAAAAGGTCAATTTTCCGAAATATGACATGTTTCATGTACATAATTTCGAAAAGCACATCTATGAAAAACTGTTGTCCTGATGTCAACTCAATCTGTGACTTCTGAAATGACTAATACCTTATCTATTTCAACATTTTATCAATGAAATTTGCATACTTTCTTTAAATAAAATGCAGTGTGCTAGGAGGCTGCCAAGGTTTTGATCAGTGGATATCTTGAAAACTGAAATGTATCCAGAATCTTTATTCTTGATCCAATTTTAAGCATCATAACTTCCGAATGACACAACTGGTTTCAATTTTTTTTTTCTATTTCCTGAATGGTTATTAGTCATAATTAGTTATCAAGAGGTATTCGTTTCACAAAAAAAAATAACAGAAATGCCACGATAGCCTCAATTTGGATGATATTTCGTTTGCAGAAAAAAATGTTCCAAATAAATTATATCACCAGATGGGTTTTCACAAAATCATTCTATTCATTTTCCAGAAGTGATATTCTCATGAGTTCTTTCTATATAAAATCATTAGTAAATATAATTACTCAGCATTCAATGTACTTGAAGGATCTAAAGAAAAAAGTAGAATTAGTTGTGTCATTCGAGAGTTGTGGAGTTTTAAATTGAAGCAAAATTATGCTTTTTTGCGTTTCAAGTGTCTATGATTTTTAAATATGGATATATCAAATATTCCTGATATAATATTGCTCTAACATGTTTCGATTCACATGAGAACAAATTCAGAATGCTATGAAACACCCTGTAAATTACAGACTCATTACAAAATGACATCGGAGTTCCAAGCTGGTACACCAGACATTAGCAAAAGTAAGCATGAACCTCAAGGAAGGACATCAATTTGTAAGGTTTTGGTTTTCAGTTATTTGTGTATTGAATTGAAATTTGAATCAAATGTATTCATTGTTTCAAGAGTTTACAATAATACAATATAAAAATTTTACACTAAAAACGGTGACAAAAATATGATATTATTGGATTCATATTAAAAAGTACCCTGCAGACCCGCACCATTTACATTGGAATCTTGTCTATGGTGACATATATGTTGGGAAAATCTAGGATTAGATAGATTTAATCATGCTGAACAAAATTGTATTTGATCCGTAACGGTTATGCCCGTTAAAAAAAGTTATGAGCTCTTGAAGCCAAACAAGATAACCTCTACCAGAACAAAATAAATTCTAGAGGGGCTTTGTACCTATAAGTTATGAATGAATGTATGAGTTCAAAAATTGTAAACAATAACAAATCTGATTTCTGTTGAATGTTCTGGTTTAATTTAATTTGTAAGATTTGTGAGTTCAAGTGACACTGAGAGACGGTTCCTTGTGTTGTTTTCGTATCAGCTTATAGTATTGGTGAAGTGTCTTTTTGGTGTTTTCAGCGAATAGTAAGTAGTTTAAGCACTGCGGGCGTAAACGGACACTTCTAGGCCTCAAAGAGTCAGGACCGAGGTGCACATGTTACTTTTTGCCCGCATGAGCGTACTTTTAGGCCCGCATTATCCGACGTGAAGTGTCACTATTAGTTACATGGGCCTAAGATAAAGATGAAACAATAATTATATTTTTATTTACATTGTGAACACAAAATTTAGAATTGAACCCCGTTCAGATAACTAAAATGCGCTGAGAAACCACCAAACTTCCAAAAATAAATTAAAACCAATAAGGGATACTTGAACATTCAACAGAAATCAGATTTATTATGGTTAACAATTTTTACACTCACACATACATTCATAACCAATAGCCTTGATTATATTACTCAAAGCCTATAGGTACAGTCAGATGCAATGAACATGTCGCACGTGGGCGGTGATAGTACCTTTAGTCACTTCTGCAATAAGAGCGCTAACACCATCCAAGCACGACATGTTCTTTGCATCATGTACAAAGCATCTATATATCTCTCATTAGTTGTTCACATATATTCAAATAGTAGATATATCAACTACGAAATAATATACAGGGTGTTAACAAATAAGTGTAACAACGGAAAACTGTAGATTCCTCATAATAAAAGAAACATTTCCTTCCTCTTCAAAATTTTTCTCCAGGCTTCCGTTTTCAAGATACAGGGCGTCAAAAAATCGAGAATGTTCTGTTTAAATAAACACACTTTACAACACTTGATGAACTTGACAATTTGAAAACCAGCATCGAGACCAGCATAATCAAGAACCTGACATTTGATTGAACATTTTCTTAGACAGTTCTGAGGTGTTTATTTCCAGTGGATTTTTGGAGATACCATCAGGATTTTGTATGTTCTTATCCATAAAGAGCCATTTTTCGCAGAAACTTTTCACTTTAGAGCATTGAGACAAGAGGACGTTTTTGTGTGAAAGATATTGGCGCTTCAGAATCTACTTCGAAAATCACAATTTCCCCAGTGGCATAAATGTTTGGGGGGTTAAACCCTTACGAGGCGTTGAATTCTCCTCCACTGGCATGTCCAAGGAAATTGATCAAGAGCCCTAAAAGTAGTCAATGATAAAGTGTGTAAGAAGGCTTAACTCCGTAGCTCAAACGGTTCCTAAGATAATAGCAAAAGCAGTTTTTTTTGTATTATTTTGACGCCCTGTATCTTGAAAACGGAAGCCCGGAGAAAAAATTCGAAAGGGAGAAAAATGTTTCTTTTTTCATGAGAAATATACAGTTTTCCGTTGTGACACTTATTTGTTAACACCCTGTATATAATAATAATATATATAATAAATTTCGATTTAGCCAGGCCACGCTAGATACCCACAGACCGGTAAGGTTAGGTTAGCCAAACAAAAATCAAGTCGGCATTATATTCCCCCACAGGCGTCTTTCATCGACAATATGAAAGCAACGCCATCTGAGTAGAACAGAAGGAAAGAAATATATGGTTGTTCAGCATGATTCAATTCATCTAATACATTTCAACATAGGCAAGATTTCAATGTTAATGGTGCAGGGTCCTTTCCTCACAAAATTGTGATAACTTTAGCAACTCGGAATAGAAACGTGAAGTCAACTGTTTGAAATTACCAAATTCAAAATTCATAGATCGAACAATTTTCGAGGTCTCGACTGATCAAAACCTCGCGGGTATTTCGAATTATAAATGATGGTATGATTTTAATTATCTAAATGTCTGCACAATGTTGTGCACGAATAATATTGGGATTTGTTTCCTAGATTTCTAGCCGCCAAACTATGGGACCTCTGTGTATGGCATTCGAAAAAATTCTAACCAATACAACACTTCATGAACAGGTAGTCCCACAACTTGACGTATTGCAGAGTCTTATAATGGACGGCATGTTCACACAAACATTTCAAGTACCTTCTATAAAACCAGCTTTCGATCTCCTACAAAAGATACGAACGATGTTGAGAATTGATATGGAAAACCAACTGTTTGATCAACTTCTAGTTGTTACCTCAGAAAGAGCATTTAGAAGACTACATCGCAGGGAAAATGGTGATAATAGTGTTTTCATGTATTTGAATGAGCTTTGTTTGTTGTTACGCAAACCTCCAACTAAGCCTATTGTTAAATTACTAGAAGGTTACATGGACAATCCAGACAGAATACAAGGTAAATCAAGATTTGTAAAATGGATATAAAATTATCAAAAACTTGAATATTGAACATGTTTGAGATTCTCATAGAAATTCAGTATTCAGTTAAATGTTGAACTTCTTGAGATCATGGACCTTACAGCTTCGAGAACAAATATCTATTTATAAAATCGGCGATAAGACATTGATTAAAATATGATACAACGAGAAACTCGAATTATCTCAGACTTTTTTTCTCATCTTTAATAATAATGGTGGGGAAATCTTGTGAACAAAATATTTTTCAAATTGCTGTATCTTCTATACCTCTTATCCAAATTCAATCAACTTGGGCTCGTTTGAAAGATAATTTCACACTCATTAAAAACTGACTTCGTTTACGGTCGCTAGTTTATACCGCGTCTCATAGAGGGCGTCGTTTACCGACTATTCGATTTTTTCGGATTTTCTCGAAAAATTCAAATCTAATGATACATGTTTGCATCAGTGCTGGATGCTTGGTAGCCTTGATATTCAGGTAGTTTGAAATTTGCGCATTTGAAATGTATTTGAAAATGTCTTATTCTGCCGCGGAAGCTTATGATGACATGATGGCGGTTTATATACGATGTTTTGAATATGGCCGAACGAGTATACGCAGCTAAGTATCCTAATAGGAGTCATTTTAGTAGGGGAGTATTTTCCCAATTGGGTAGACGACTGCGGAAGACATGACGAATTCATCCTATTTTATCCACCCATAAGAAATGAAAGTAACTTAATTCTAATTTTGACGTAATAAGAATATGCATGGACGAAGAGAATAATAGTGAATTTTGTGCTGTTCCCTCGGTATCACTTAGGAAATCTGAACTTGAATCAGTAATTTTTCACAAATGACATATTATTGTTTAACTGGTACCTCAAAGTGACGGGCGAAGTCAACTTGCCTACTAATTTTTTTACATAATCGGTAGAACTCATGTAGTACTAATAATTATCCATGTTCAAACGACATTTTTCATCAAAATTAGAAAAAAATATTTACGTAACGTCATACAAAATGACGAGTTTCCTAACTGGTGCGTAAATATCTATTTCGTTATTGCAATTCAGTTAACGATAGATTCTTAATTTTTTTTTATGTAGGTAAGCGGTATTCAAATCGAAGACGTTAAAGAATTCAGAAATAACCTTTTTCACCAATAGCGCAAAAAATAAGGATACAATAATTGAATATTTTTTGTTGCAATTCCTACTCACTGAAGATACCATTCATTAAAGATAGTTTTTCGCAAATAACTCAAAGAGAAATCAAGATATCGAATCGCGGTTTCCGCAAAAATGTAGCTAAATTTATGGTCTTCGACATCAATGATGCAAACATGTATCATTCCATTCCAATTTTTCGAGTACATCTGAAAAAACGGAATAGTCTGTAAACGACGCCCTCTATAAGACGCGGAATCAACTAGCGACCGTAAGAGAGGTCAGTTTTTTTATCAGTGTGAAATTATCTATCAAACGAGCCCAAGTTGATTGAATTTGGATAAGGAGTATGGAAGATACAGCGATTCAAAAAGTATTTTGTTCACAAGCTTCCCCCACCATTATTATCAAAGATACGAAAAAAAGTCTAGAGACGAAAACACCGATAAATTATTGTTCTTTTAATTTCCGTTATCAAAAAGTTACCTCACACAGCGATTTTCTGAGATAATTTGAATTTCGAAATTTTCAATCAAATTTATCAATAGATTTTTTTTCCGAAGCTGTAAGGTTTATGGTTTCCATAATATCGTACCTCGCCGACCTTAGTGGGACACCCTGTATGTATAAAAAATTCCCCCTAATATTTTTTTGCCACCTACTCCAATCGTCAGGCATAATGATTGTACAGGGTGTTCTCAAAGTTACGACATTGATTTTTTTGGGACAGGAAGTTGAACTGTGAAAAAAGTATCTATACACAGTGAACTTTCACTAATGAGCATGCTACATCATGTACTGATTATTTATTGAATATTCTTATTCTTTTCTATTAATAATCACACCTATAGAAAACTTGTCAGTCGATATAAACGGGTGAACTGAAAAATGTATTACTTATTCTGTTACAGAATTGACTCTATTCATGCCCGATATATACGTACAACTTCTCACCCTATTTACAACACTTGCTATGATGAATAAACGAAAAGTACCACAGGCCCTGAACTATTTGCGGGCTGTATTCAATGATGAAATGCAGATTATGAAAATTTTGGCTTTCAAATTGTTTTATTCACTGTGTCAAGAGTAAGTAAATATGTTAACAGTCAAGTAATTGTTTGTAAATTCAATTCTTTCAGGTTGACCCACGAATTCGATGAAGTAATTCGGTTTGCGTTTAAGGAAATAGTGGTAGCTGACCCTTGCCTAGTTAGAATATGCATCATTACACTGGAAGAATTGATTCATGATGATTACATTAAACTTTGTTCAGAGAATTTTTTCAGGTTCATCTATGCAATAGGTTGTGATGACTTGGGAATATTTATGAAAGAAGTATTGATGAAAAGATTTGTGTTCTCCAACCTGAATGATATTGCCAAGTATTACATACAGAGTATAGTTTACATCCATATGTACTCTAAGGTATGTTCAATCATATCACTTTTCTTGTTTTAGATTATTTTTATTCTTTTTCAGCTCTCAAATTACCCAATTTCACCACAATTTGATAGTGAATTAGTGAAAATGAAAATGAAATTGAATAATCCGAAGGATATACCATCGTTTTTATTCAATATATTGCCAATAAGAAAGAAATTTTATATTTTATCCGAAATTTCATCTATTTTCGGTAATATGGACATTACCTGCTTTTATAGTTGCTCTTGACCAGCTTAAATTTCAGATGATATGATGAATGGGCAATGTAAAGTTGAAGACAACTTTTTCAGTATGTTGAAAGACCTCATCCTTTCGTTCAAATGCATAGCAACAGGAAATTTTGAATCAACTACTGACAGACATTATTACACCAACATATGCAAACAAATTGAAAACCAAATATTGGCTCATGATCCAGCAAACTCGAAGGAGAGTTTATATAGTGTACGTCAACTATGCACTAGTTATTATGAATAAATAAATCGGCTATTTTTTTTTTTCAGGAATATGATATGGAAATCAGACGTTGTACCTTAACCCTTCTGAAACTATTCTTTTTTGAAAACGCTCAGTTCGCTGATAATATTCAAATTACTCTTTTTGATGTTTTTATGCACTGGATTGAATTTGTTATGCCAGAGGTTTGTATGACTAGTTCAACGCTTTTTTCAGTTTTTTGTAGAAATAGGTGTGGTTTTCTAAATTTATTCTACACAAAAAATGGGATTATTATTGAAAATACAGTGTTTGAAAAGTTATACCGATTTAATTAATACTTTAAACTATAATTATGAAAAATCTGATAAGAAGTTTTCCATCAGATACTGTAAACATATCCGTTATAAATCAAATCCACTAACGGCACTTTTTAATAAGAATATTTTTTTTTATTTCCAGATTGTCAATTACATTCATGTAGAACGTGGAAAAGACTTTGGTTCGTATTTTTCACAGTTGGTGAAATACTACAAAAGGCATAAAACAAAATTTGTCAGTCCAGAGAGGTAGATCATCTTCGTTTTGCTTTCATTTGGGCCTCCAGAATCTTTTTTTTTTGTAGTTCGAACTTTCTGTCCGAGTTTTCTTAATCTTTGAGAATTTTTTTTGTTCAGTTTCATCATATGTCTCGTATAAATGGCGTTTGTGCTGGCATAGTTGATGCTAATAAGCAGGAGAATCTGATCTGCTGGAATATTCCAATCATACTTTGTAAACCTTGTTCTTAAGTTGAAACGACTTTTCGTTTAGATTTGTACTACCACTTGAGTTAAAATTTCAGCTAGCTGATAATTTTGTTTTTTGTATACAATGACCAATTTTTTATATAATCAGTAGCTGTTTAAAGCAATTTATACAAATATAATTACACTGATGAGTGTATGAAATAAAACTTCTCAGTAACCTACCTATTCATTGTATTTTGAACAGCAATTGTTTTCTTACCCAGAAATCCTTTCCAAAATGATTCTAGAGAAACATACATCTTTATTTTAAACACGATTTAAATCTACAATAGTGGTTATGTGTTAAAATACTCTTAAGATATTATACAATATCACATCCATTTATCACATACACAGAAATATAAATAACTATATCAACAAAATGCATAAGTGCATGCGCAAATGGTATAACTATAATATTAAACATTATGAAACTATTCAATAGGTTTTGTACCAAAAATTGCTATCAACTAGTTCTTTTACACCCCAATAATCTAACATCAATATAAAAATATATTCAATTTATAAACTGTTATCCCGTATTCAAATATTATTAAATGGGCACACTTGCCTTCAAAAACAAAAAAAACACACTACTTTGTAAAAAACTCTAACTTATTGTAAGTAAATGTATTTCTCTACACCACAAAAATATTTTAGAAAAAACAAAAACAAAAAAACAAAAGTAAAAAAACAAACATTCCTTTCCTCGTCTACCAGCAAGGTTTTAAACCATATAACTCGCCACAAACGTTCACTGGTTCACGATAGACATTTTAGAATTATAAAAAAAAAGTGTAATCGCTCTGAATTCAAGAAGCATCTCACTCAAAAGAGTAAGAATTGTTTCGGAGACTAGAGACCAAAAAAAAGTTTACTCATGGATTTTTGCTGAATGCAGTTGAATGAATAAAAACAATTCTGTTTTATGTAAAGGATTATGATATAGAAGGTGGTCCCTTAAATCTACCATGGTCCAACACAAAAAGCGACCAGATAACTTGAAAAATAAAATTAAATAGAGGCTACATAAAATATAGCCGCACTGTCGGTCAATTGAATATAGCAGCCAAATTGATATTAAAAACCACAAATTACCTTATAAAATCGAATATTCAAACAAATTTATAGGTGAAAATAATGAGAAGTATTCATAAGGCCTAGTAATACTTATCACTATTTCCACCAAATTGTATTCGAGACAAAACCACGCAATTTGTACATATCAACAATACTCACTTCAAATAGAGAATCATTCAATCAGCTAGAATTCGGTATTGCTCTCTGCTTCATCCAACAAAAGCAACATTATTTTTATTGAGGGGTGTATACAAGTTGTTCATCGAGTCGTTAAATATAGGAGTATCAAGAAAGAATGGTATTTGGCAACATTGCCAGCTACGGAGAATAGCGGTTGTTTCGCTGTTGTGGCGGAGACGGAGACTATAGCTCAGACGTACGATAGCCGCATAGTCTCTTGCGATGTTGCAATCCAAATGTCCTATATGTAATGATTCGATAAACGACTTGTATAGCCCATGTATCTATCAGTTACGGATTAAAGAACCGAATTTCAGTACACATTTTGAAATTATCCTACAACAAATATACTATATACAGGGTGTTTCAAATAAGGTGGCCTCATTGCTAGGATAGGCAGAACGCTGAATAATAGGATGGGTTTGCACAGTAAAAAATGTTCCTAAGGCGATGCGTTTTCAAGACAGAAGGGGTTGAAAAAATAATTTCATACACATTTTCAATGATTACTTCGAAAATACTGGCAACATTGTAATTGCAAATTTTGTATGATAATGTTTCATCAAACGGCACAACGCATGAATCTGTTTTAATATCTGAATGTCATAGAGGGGGCTATTTACACGGGTTGTATTGAGTCATAACTTTTTTGAAGTTAGATTTTCAAGTTCAAACTTTATTTGAACTTGAACATCAGTCGATGTTACACCAAAAAGGTAAAATTCGATATTGTGTACCGTTTTCGGAATATTTTGAATTGAAAATGCTGAAGTAATTGATAACTGTTGCTGGTAAAAAGCAATATATAAAATAAGTATTATAAAAAAATTCTTCCTATTTAGTCTGAAGTTATTATGTAAACAAAGAATCAATGAAATTGAAATAAAATTGTCTAAAAACATTAAATACACAGTTTCCTAGTATCTTAAGGTAAGTAAAGCTGATCCTCAAACGTTTAAGAAGATTGTGCATTCCTGAAAACGGAGGTCATTTTGAGAGTTACTCTGACAACTGATTCTATATATTATCTTTTTAATTCAATTTTTTTAACACTATAACAATAGGATGTTATTTTTTTTGTATTTAGATTTTATTTAGACTTTTTTTTCAACCCCTCGTAGGTACAGTGGTATTCAATAAAAAAGCGTGCAAGTATTAAAAAGAGAGGTTTACGTCATCCCAGCTCTAACTGTGTCAAACTGGCTTTGAGAACCAATGACAACTTTACTGTCAACAATATTTTTGTAATGCAACTGTACTTTGATAACGGATGCCGTTACGATTTTTTCTTACTTAACAAACACCCTGTGTAAATTTGTTTACTCCCTGAAAGCTTTTCATTGGTTTAGCCATATGACTCAAACGCCTCTAAGGGATGTTTATAAATGGTCAGAACTGGTTTTCGACAATGTGGATAGATTTATCATGATTCCACTTCCGATTTTAAGTGCATGAAAACTAAGAAATTATACGTTCTTTTTCGTCATGTCAACATAATTTACATCTGGAAAGTGATTTTTCTAAAATGCATCATTTCAGTTCCCTATTCACATTGAAGTTACTGAGATAATCAAACCATCGGCAGTCTCATTCGGATGTGGAATTCATACATAAGAAAAAACATGAAAATTGACAAAATTGACATCTGGAGATTTGATAAATACAATATTCAACCATTTGAATATTGCATACCATTTCAAAATGTGTTCTGAATCACTAATATTGGTCACTACTAATTTTCAGTTCAATTAACTCATTACCTCTCCCACACCGTATCAGTACTAAAAATATGTAACAATGAATGTCATTAATAATCAACATGGCACCAAAGGACGAGATAATGGTAGTATCAATTCATACTATATACTATTTGCATGTTGTTCGATGAGGTAATCATATAATTTCTTCCAAATCTCGAATTTTCTTTACTCTTATTCACGATCATAAAAAAGCATAAAACACAACTTTTTATGATTATAAATAAAAGAAGAAAAAACCAAATGAACGAAAGAAGGTATTAATTTAGTGTAAAATTTGTTACATGTCAAAGTGCTAGAAATAAAATAAAAATATCAACCCTATTTAGGAATGTCTGACATACCTCAGAAAAACCCACAAATTATGTAAAACCTCCTACAGATAACACTACTTCACACTGATAAAGCTGCTAGGAGCAGTAATACATATTTTTTTGTAACGATTCTGTAAGGTTTGTTACATCACATTGCAATGGAAATAATATTCAAAAAAGCTTCAAACATAACACATTCTATCACAGAACTAATACCAATAAAAAGAATAAACGGTGGTGTACTCACTATGTCATGAGAATGAAAATATTATTCACTGTCACTCTCCAAATGCAAAGTTGTGAGAGAATCCATGCTATCGTTGGAAGATACGCTACCTCGTATATTCGCGAACTTCCCGAAATGAATATCTTCATCTGGAGAGGCAGGAACTTTGGTTACACGAAATCTGAAAGAAAAAACGGTACAAACCAAATCCGGAAATTAAATCTGTCATCTTCATTCATTTCTGAATCAACATCAAATAGTTACGCCCCATACATACTGTAAGTATAGTCTATCCAAAGGCAATTGAAGTATCTCACGCACCGTGCGGCGACGGCGGGAAATTTTTTAGCAATTTTTTGGCAAATCTAGCACTTTTTTGCAATATTTCAAGCAAAAACAAGAAATCTGACCTTGGACTACAAGTTTGACGTTAAACATTTTAGTCTATATACTACATTCCAAATAAGAAGACAGTAGGTGGCGCTGCCTCTGAAGGAATGTATACACTGACGAAATGAATATATGGCGCCTAATTCAAAATCATAGCAATTCTAATAATTGAATGTCACTTTGAGTTCGTTTTTATTCTCAGGATTTGTTGTAACACATAAAAAATACGACAAATGAATAAACTGTGATATGATCATCTTCACTAACACTTGAAGAAAAATTCAATCCTTACGTCACAACAAACCTCATAATAACAGCCAGGTGCCTCTAACCAATCAAAGCGTCAGTCAACACTTCCCTATGGTTTCCACTGCTGGCTTCTAATTTGGAATAAAGGACAGACTCAACTCAAGTAGTATTAACATTGTCCTATGACGCCAATATGTCAAAATGTCAGAAAGCATAAAGTACAAAATCCATAGAAATTCAGACTTCTCCCTACCTGGCAAAGATTATGGTGGAGTAGTAAACTCTAAAACTAGAGGATTGTTCATCTATATCTTCGTATAGATGAATCAGGAATTCTATATGGAAATCACGTATGATACGCCAATGACCTCAATATAACTTAAAAACAACGAATGTCAAAAATCTAGTGCTTATCCCCAGAATTGAATAAGGATGGAACCATATAACTGTTTCACAAGCACTTTAGAGTGAGAGGAGACGAGGATCTGTCAGTACCCTGTTAAGATGACTTTAACGTCAATTTCCATCAAGGGACCCTAGATTAACCTACAGACAGTATTTATAAAAGGGTGTTCAATTAGTTTTACGAACTACTATTTTTTTCGTGTACACTGACCTTGATTTCGGTTTCGGACTCGGACTCGCCCTAGGACTAGGACTGAGACTAGCGCTGGGGCAGCCGCCGCCCGCCTCCGCCACCCGCACGATCTGGAACCGGCTCTTCGGCGCCGGACTCGCCACCGGGGACGGGATCGGCGACAGGGCTGGCGACCCCACCTGGAACCATATAATAATAATAATTTCTGGTGTTGAGTTGGCGGGAATTCGGTTGAAATGTTGAAGAAAACCAATTTTTAAATTGTGACGTTTCGAAACTTTATTGTTTCATCTTCAGGACACTGAAGTAAAAACAATAACATACATATTAAAATGATATTTTAAAATGAGGGGTTTTGATAAAAGAAAAATAAGTTATGTAAAATAACAATCGTTGAAAATAAAACACTTCTCACATTCTATTCAACAATAATAATAATGTTTATTCCTATTAGCATACAGCAGCCATCCGAAAATGGATATACACCACAGAACTCAAAGACCTAGAAGGCCAATATCGTTCTATTCGAGTGTTCCCTAACGTGACTCGCACGGCAAATGTGAGCATGCGCAGTAAAGACGCGACCATGCCAGGGGCGGATTCAGAATTGTTTGATTACCATCAGGTTCTTGTGGCTTTCTTGAAAAAGCAGAACATTATGAAAAATTCATATGATATTTGTTATGATGAATTCCTTAATGTTATTAGGAGTAATGGTTCGATGTATTTTCCATCTACTGAAGTGTTCATTGGATAGAAATGAGCGAGCTAATATACAAGGTGGTTCAGGCTATATTAGCGATAATTCACCATGGTTCTACAAATCTAAGATGGCATGAAAATTATATATTTTCTGATTGTTGTTTGACGCAACTAAGTTTTGTCTATATGGTCCAGTGGATACAGATACAGGGGAGTTGTTTCCCTTTTGCCGAACTATTCATTAAACCACTGAAAATTTGTCAGCATTGAGATATTTTCCCAAATTTCCTGTTCAATTCAGAAAGAAAGACACTCTTGTAGAATTTCGAAATGGAGCTTCGTTTACTTATACCTATATAGAATGTACAATCCATGCACAGTGTGGCCTATGGATTTACAAAGGATGTCCATTGGACAGAACCTGGACCTTTTGAGCCATCCAATGAATATCCAACATGTCCATGTACGCCTGCCTATCCAATGGACATCCAATGTATAGCTTTGTGGTATTAGGGATATTGTTCATTAAAACGTATATATGGGTCCATACTGTAATTGTATAATAGATACTTGCCTGGAATGCAGCCGCCATTGCCTCAGGCACGGTAAACCGCGGCTCGCAGCTGAGCGACATCTTGCGGGAGATCAGCCGCGACGGGTTCGCCGTCTCGTCGTCGGGGTTCGACTCCGCGAAGGACCTGTTCACCGTGCAGATGGCGAACAGTTTCTTGACCAGTTGGGTGTAGGCCTCGGGGTCCTTGAAGAACAACCAAGTTTCGTCGAATGCGTAGGGAATGGGATATGTATGGCATTAATGTATGGCATGAATACACTACAGTGTTTTACCACTGACCAAACCGATTTTTTAAACGCCTTATATACTAGGTACACACACAGCACACTGGAATAGGATATTTAGTTTTAATCTTCTCCTGAAGATGCTAACATAGTTAGCGAAACACGTGCCGAGGCGTTTGAAAAATCGGTTTGGTTAGTGCTAAAACAGGGTAGTGTATTATCGTGGCAAAGGTTTCCGTCTTCGATATATGGCATGAATGTATAACATTTGTCCTAATTTGATTCGTTTACAAAATAAATGGTGCTGGAATTGAAGGTGTTTGTTTTTGCTTTAATTACTAGAAAACCGCTCGATCAAAATTCAAGATATTCTAATAATAGGCGAGTAGACTGATTTTTCTTATTACTTGAATGGAATCATCACTCAAATACCTTTCAATTCATATTTTTTAGATTGTCTGGGTCGATTTCAAGCTACTAAAATCATCAATACAGTAAAAACTGACGTCACGATTTCGTGAGTAGGTCGAAATAAGACTTTCTTTCTATAAATAAGTTTTTTTACTTTCCAGCACCATTCATAAAGAGTCAATGTTTGTTAGGCTTTTTATTCCTTAGGTAATGTTTGAAAACTGGTAATCAAGATCCCGAACTAAATATGTAGCGTTTTTTGTGTTCATTGATATAGAAGGTTCTTCCGTTTTGTTGAACATTTCAATTAAATCTAGCAATCTAAAAAATATTATTTTGTTTATCGATAACAGTCGCAGATGCGTAAAAATTACAAGACATAAAACTTTAAAAACCCATGTCGTATTTCAAAATCTACCAGTGGCGCACCACAAAAAAGTTTATGGTGCAAAAAAATGCCAGATCCCTGAAAAAATATCTCCCTGTAGAACCTTATACAATCGCTTGGCAAGTTCACACCATAACCTTCAAAAGTAACGTATGTTTCAGATTCTATATGAATATCTCGAAAACTAAGAGCTATACAGGAAAAAAGAAAACTCTTGTTTGAAGAGCTCCATATCCTAACCTCTACAAATAAATACATAATATATCCTGGAAGCTCTGAAATATGCAGAAGAAAATCAAACATAATAACAGAGACAAGACAGGTATGAAACAAGACACAGACCATACCAAATACCACTTCACAGATTCAATATAATAACAAATCCTACAAATACCAGTCCCTGAAATGTTCCAACAATCTGGCAAAGGAATCGATATAATTAAATTTTACCGAAAATTGTCAACATTTTCTGAGAGAAAATGTGTTTTATTCTATTGATGCATTTTATATATTATTAATGTTTTAAGAGTCTCTCAATAGCTAGGTGATTAAAATGCCAAAATTTCTATTTCTACCTTCATTGGTCCATCTATTGCATGAACAGTAAATTTTCCATGAATGTGTATAAACATGTTAGCGTCGTATGCTGTAGAATACTGATATACACCCTGTATGAGGTGTTTGATTCATCAATACAACCATCTATAGTTAACATACATGTTATTTTATCTCACAGAATAAACTACTACTATAAAGACCCTACACACTGTTTTACCACTAACCAAACCGATTTTTTACACCTCGACAAGTGTATTGCTAACTTTGTTAGCATCCTCAGGAGAAGATTAAAACTATAAAAACTATAAAGACCGTTGAGGGTAGATTTTGTGACCTGTTTACTGTTGACGTAATAAAACACTCTGTATAAGTGACTACTATAATTTGAGTGCATTTACCTAATCACCTTAGTATTTCGTTTCTGGTATGAGTACAAAAATTGCCGGACAACACACATGGTGGCCGACCTTATTCAAAACACACCGTATAAGAAAACATTAAATACTTACACTACATGACCGGTTATTTTCATCTATCTCAATTTTGATGATGTTTGAGTTTGTTAAAGCTTGACACAATTTTTCAACGCCGTTGACTTGGATTGCTTTATTACCCTTGAGATTAATTTTCTGCAAAAAAAGATCGGTAGTCAAAATTTATTTTTTATTTCAATGCTCAGCCTGTGATATTACTTTGGCAGTCTTTGCTAAAAATTACCTAATAGATAAAAATAACCAACCAACCTGTAATGAATGATTGTTTGGTATGACTTCTGCTAGTGCATCTATTCCCTTACAAGTCAACAAAGTACTCTGCAGCCCTAAGCCTTCAAGACAATTGGTTTTTAGTAAGCTCACACTCAAGTGATTAAGTACTTCATCTGTCAAATTATTGTAACCGATATTGAGAGTATGTAAATTCTTGCATTCCATCTGGAAAATAAACACTGAATCTAACTAAAGGGTTTAAGAGTTAGAAAAAAATATTATATCCATTAAACTGAATATACAACTGTATTTGAATATCAATAATCAAACTGGGTGAAGTAGAATACAATTTGTATGTTATGATGTACTCACAATAATAACGGATATGATTGGTCCACTTTTCTCTGTTATTTGGTTATTGAAAACACTGAGGGCAGACAATCCCACACCTGGTGTATTTTGTTTGCACAACCCTCGTGCCAAGGATTCTAAACCTCGATCGCCAATGAAATTATTACCAATATCAAGGACTTTCAGGTGTGTGTTGTTACAGAAAAATCTAGCTAAAATTTCAGCTTCTTTAGTATAAAGTCCTGTCGATGGTAGATATAACTCTCGAATTGTTGTATTGGACATCAGGTTTTCCACTGAAAATTATTTGAATGAATCTCTGAGAAATTATTGCTCAAAGTTAAACAACATACCTAAATAAAAACTGGGAAGCTTCACCAGCATGCAGCTGTCAAATTTAAGCATGGTAATGTTGCAGTTGTTCTTAATTGCACTCAGTAAAGACCGCATGTGAGTTTCATTAATTACCATTTTTTTGAATGACAAAGACTCCAATACCATAATGTTATTGCAAGCATTACAAAAACATTTCCAGGTATCATCATCTTCAAAATTCATTTCAATTTCAAAATGACAAGCTGATTCATAGTACTCTAACATGTTCAGAAACTCGCTCATGGTTTCAGGAGTAAATTTGCAATCATTCAAAATGAGCGTATGAAAATTGGTAACTTTGAAAATATCTTCCAGTGTCTCGTTCACTTCAGAAGTTACTTTGATAGAGTGCAGTTTCATAGTTGCAGAATGATTCATGTTGTTTTTGATATCCTGAAATTATACACTCAAGTTATTTAGTCCTGCAAAAGTAACAGCACAGGAACTTACAGAAATTTGAGACTTTATAGTATCAAGTTCAATGGTTTTATGCTTTTTGCAAGATTCCTGATACACCTGGAGGATTTCGTCAGCTGACATTTCTTTATCTAGAATTTTGTTCAAAATAGACAAACCAAAATGAAAGACGTATTGAACAAATGCAATAGGAATAGAATATATTCACATCTACATTGATTTATTTGAAATCTTTCAAAAGGATAAAAAGAATGATACTTCTTTTTTATACAAGATATGTCGCTGAAAGGTCTGTAAAAAATCTTAGCATGCAGCATGGTCAAAATAATCTGATTCAAATCAACTCACAAAATTACTGATTCAGAGGTACAGGGTGGTACAGTAAAAAAATAAAATTCAAATATTTTTAAATTCATGAACATTTTTTAATGAATTGCTTTAAAAATTGGTAGCTTTAAATTTTGTGAAATGCGATACCCAAAAACGGAGACCTCCTCACTGTCCTCATTAGAGGGTGCTTTGGTGTTTTACTATTTTTGTTAAGGAAATATTGTTTATGGTGATTTTTTAGCAAATATCCGCTAATGTAAGCCATTTTCGAGATATTTCGGTTCTCAATGTTCGATGCCGCACCGGAATATTTATTTTGGATACTTTTTCAGTGTGTATGCGTGTCACATTTTTATTTTTCAATTGTACAATACCCTGTATCTCGAAAATGGAGCAATTTCGGATTAAAGTAAGTTGCTTAGAATCAACTTTTTTTGCCGTCAGGAATATGTGCCAAGATTTCGTACAGACGTTTTAGGGACAATCTGTATAGATGATTTTTTTTTCATTCTTCCATCATTTCTCAAGTGTATGGAATGATATTTTCACATAAATTGGCTATCCACTGGATGTTTCATAAATTTCTAGAACTACTGAGTACATCAAACAATTTTTCTAGCAAATGACTGCCATTCTTATGGGGTCCAGCAGAGTGCATGAATATACAGTGTCTTCCATAAAGTACATATCATGTGGGAAACAAATGTAATATTAACGTATTTGAAAAATTATTTCAGGTGATCGATTATGTATTTAGTAATTATTGAAGTATGATTCCGGTATTTGTAGGTGCGAGAATGCTACCAAAGATACACTCACTCTAGATACACTATCTCTATTTATATATGGAATTAACCAAAGAATCATCAATATTTCTAGGAAACAATATATCCAGAGTTGAAAAATCTCTTTGGATTTGGATTCAGATCAAATTTACTAGTGATAATTCCACTTGGTCATTGATTGTATAAGTGCTATTTTTTCTGCTCCTGAGGATTCCAGAATCCCTCCAAAACTTGTATTGGCCATGTTGGTGTCATGAATTTGAATCTATTTTGAATATGCAAATTTCAGAATACTACATCCATAATCACAGAAGATAATATATGGTTCTCTCATAAGAAAAGTGGGATACATTGTATGTATGGTGATATACAATATCAAAGGATATAATATCATATAATTTCAATGTCATCAAAAATACATTTTGAGGTTGAAGCATTGTTCCTCCCTCCCAAATGACACTTGATTATTTTATTTTGTCAAGGAAGTGTGGACATTTTAAAAATAGGTCTTTAATCCCTTCCAGAGCCAGGTCAGGGTATTTTGATCTTTCTGATTTGTTTTGTTTGCTGTGTTGATTTCTTGATGGAAATGAACTATTGGAAGTCATTTTGAAAAAAAAAAATCCATAATGGCCAATTCCTTCATATTTTCAAACTCTAGTATCTATAGGTCCTAGGAGAAGTCTTCAAACAAACTTTTATCCTAAATTCAAGTATGACTAAGCTATCTTCTTTACTTTATGGCAACTTTATGGTTAGGCAGTTTCTACAAGTAACAAATACCTGGACCATCCTATGGAAATAACTTTGACAAATTACAATATTTTTGAATTTAAGTTTAAATATTATGGGACTGTTTTTGTTCAGAATCAAATCTCCTGTGAATCAAGTTCATTGTATACTGGGTGTCCAGTTAAAAAAAGCCAAACTTTTGACTGGTGGAAGCAATGTTAGATTTTTCTTCAGATTTCATTATCATAATCAGTGAAAAAAATACTACTAGTTTGCTCTTTTAATTGAATTTGTAGCTTCAATAATCCAAGTTATCAATAGTGCTGACTCAACTTTGAAAACCCTATATACATACTTACCTTATGAAAATGGCAATATGCATGCATGTATAGGTAACAAAAATATAAACCAAACAATCTTTTCAACCAAAATATCATGTCTAGACTGAAACAGCTAAATTCCAGAGGGGGGGAGTGCGCCCCCCTTGCCCTAAAGTAGCAAACCCCCTTTCCATTTGACTTTTTGATTCTCTAATTTGAAATTTCATTCACATAATTTACTCCTGCTAATCATCTTTCCAATATCCAATATATTCTTCCAAGCTCTCATCTCTTCAATGAAACAAGATGAATATATTGTAATTTATGATTCAAGATTTTCATATAATATAGTGCATTGATTTGTTATATAATAATTGCTGTATTTATTTTTTCATCATCTCAAGATGACTTCAATTCAGGTCCCAGAATTCAACTATTTTGGTTATTTGATGAATGAATTTACTGGAACCTGAAGTTATATAAATGCAGAAGTGTTGTGTTCTACACCTATGTTTTCTTTGCAATTCATTATTACTTGTGAAATAACAAAATGAAAATATTACATACCTATGCTCCATGGAAATGAATACTCTGGCTCATTATAAGTAACTAATAGTGACATGAGTGTAGGAAATGAGACACTGCATTTCCTATGGCCTTGAAATGAAGAAAAATTACATTCAGAGGATTGTGGTTTAAGAATTGAGGTACGAGGCAGATATATTTGGTGATTTGCACCAGTTGATTGCTCAGTCTCTTGAATTGTATTTGGAATGGTAGCAAAACCATCAGCAGAAAAATCACCTCTTCTGATGAGGAAGTTGCTTTTCAGAATTTCTTCATTTTCACACTGACATTCAACTTCTGTAGTTATGTTCACTTTATCATCAACATTGTCTTCTTCAGGTTCAGTGTTACTATCTTCTTCAAGGGCTTCTTCCACATAATCATAATCCTCATCTGATTTTCCACTATAAAGGTAAATATAACCTCTAATTACAGCCACAACATGGAATTAACATATAATTACTAATAATGCCATTGACTATTATATCCCATAAAATGGAATTCACCAGGAAATTCCGAGGTGCATAATAAAAGTATATATACATAACTGATTAAAAATAAAATACAGGCTGACAACCATCAAAATAGTTTTTTGAAGTTTTTTAATTTTTTTATTGTTCCATCTGCATAAATTAGCCTGGTCTTCCTCCATGTCTGAACATCCAATAAATCATATTCACCTATTTTCTGATGAGGTTTCATCACTACTGGTGCCATTTCTAGTTGATAATGGAAAACTTTCAACCTGGATGGGTTCTAAAGGGGTAGCTAGATCATTTTCATCAATGGAAAATGCCTTGTCCAGTAAGTTTTGGTTTGATAATTTCCTCTCAATATCTGAAAGCACAGATTAAAAGTTATTGACTGTTGAATCACTGCACCCAATCTTCTACAGAGAATTGATAAATTCTTACCTATTTTGCATACTGCAGGTTCTCCAACAAGTTGCTCTTCAGTATCAACAAGAGAGTGCCCAGTTATACACTTGGACTCAGTGTCTATTAGTAAATGTGTTTCATTTCCCTTTTTCAAGAGAAGATCCATCACTTGATAATATCAAGATCCCTTCTTTCTGTTATCACCTACATAACAAAATAGCTCCATGACAATGACTAAGATGATTAATAACCTGATAATAAATGTTGAACTCACATCGTTTGCGAACCATTCTTTCGATTGCATCCGTAATTTTCAGTAATATCTGGAAATTTTCGAAATAAAAAGTTAATCCATTGAAATGACCAATATCATTCAATTGAAATGCATTCAACTAATGGTGCTAATGCCTCTCTCGAATGAAAACACGAACCACAACCACTCCTATTTTTTGAGAAGTGTGTGAATGAAAAGAAATTTCTCTGAAAGTCAAAAATAATTAAAGCATGAAGTAACGAACCTTGGACAATTCGCAAATTGTGGAATTGTGGACAAAATCAACAGAAAAAGAAATAGTTGGACAGTTGGACACAGGTAAAGACTTACGTCAAGTCATGTCCATTTGACTTTCTATACATCTGTCTTGTCATAGTCACCAAGGCTATTCCGAATTCAATTGACACTACTGACACTACTGACAGTACTGAATCTGTTTTCATTCCGAAATAGAGTAACAGAGGTGAGCATACTATTCATTCCAAATATTTCGATTCAACATTCTGCTGAAAATACTATCAGCAGACGGTAGTGTGATAGATGTACAATGAACTCAATATAAACACCTACATTGAGTTCAATGTAGATGTATAGATAGTCATAATCAGCGTACATACATGGAATCAGGAACTCAGAAACATATGAGAACATTTTTCAAATTCCGTTGCTGAAACGCGACATATTCTTCTATTTCTCAAAAAATGAACGGAACAGATAGCCAACAATGTTCTCCTAAATGAGAAACACTGTATATGCCTTACCCAGGCGCCTACCCCGGTTGCAACGAGGGTTTACCGATGCCAAGGGTTGATACTCTCCCGTCGTAAGGGTACCTGTCGTGTCTCCATTGAGACATAAGGCTGTTTCGGAATTTACTCTGGGTTGATAACTCGATCCAGATAGGTCACGAGCCAGAAAACTCGGATCATCTACTCGTGTTCAACGTTTACGAACGTGTCAGGTTAGGAACACTGAATATTTTATTTTTTTGTGGTTTCATGAATTTGACAGACGACAATGGTACCATTATATTCAATCAATTATTTGATCTGATTACAAATATTTATATTTACCTGTGGATTGATGTACTTGTCTCATATGTGTTGTTGCACATAACCACAAACTTCACCCCTACCCAAATTCTTGTTTCAATGAATTACTTTAATCAAATTATGAAGATTGAAAATAACATGTATATGCAAATTATTTTATTTTTAGTGTTATCGTCGAATGTAAACTCCCCCGTTTTTTTATTGACTTAAATTCCGTAATGCGCATGCGGTGTCCTTTGCAACTCTAGCGACCCTGCTTTTGAGTAGGGTCACGAAAAATCAACCCGAGTCAGTGATCGAGTTAGCATCATTCAAGTTTCCGAACAGAGGTAGGTAACTCGGTTTGGGTAACCGAACGTTCAGGTTAGGGATCCGAACAACCCGAGTAAGTTTCCGAAAACGCCTATAAAGGTGACTATCCCAAAAATGTTCAATGATATATCGCCTTCCATAACAAATATGAAATTTGGAAGAAATATTCGAAATGAATTGAATATAATTCGTAAATAGGAATGAAAAACTGATCACCGACACCGGTCACTGCTAGTTTCTGGTCTGGTTCCCTCTTCAATAATTGAGTTCAGTTCAATTTTTCCGTCGAATAATAACACGTCGCTTCTTCGATCTAAAAGTTAGTTGGTATTATATCTCGAATTTGAAATATATTGAGAATTGAAATGATGAAAGTTGAATGGAATGAGAAACTGAAGAATATATGAAAACTGTTTTCAAATTCCGTTGCTGAAACGAGACATATTCCTCTATTACCCAAAAAATGAACGGTACAGATAGACAACAATTTCTCCTAAATGAGAAACACTGTATATACCTTACCCATCAGGCGCCTACCTTGGTTGCAACAAGGACTTACCGACGCCAAGGATTGATACTCTCCTTTCGTTAGGGTAACTGTCGAGTCTCCATTGAGGCTCGAAGGTGCCTATGTTTTCTGAAGAAGACTGTACATTGCACGAACATTTCATATTTCATATTTTCTTCCCACTATTGTTTTTTCACGTCTTTTATTTCTGCCTGAACTCACATTGTTATAAAATTGTATTGATGAACAATAAATCAATAATATAATAATGGTTGATTGATTGATTAAAGGTGACTATCGGAAAATGTTATATGATATATATTGCCTTCCATAACAAATATGGAATTTTGAAGAAATATTCGAAATAAACTGAAAATAATAAGAAATAGGAATAGGAAACTCATTACCGGTCTCTGGTTTCATTTCTGGTTTTCTCTGCTGTGCAATTTTTCTGTTAGGCTCAAATGTTTTATTTATCACACGGTTTTCCTTCGATCTACAACATAGTTGTAGTTAGGGTCCCTGTATATAACTTAAGTTTCGAGTTTTGATTTCAAACTTTCAATTTCTTTCCGCATCATCTCATTCTCGTTTTCTTTCTCTGCGAACGTATCATTCAGTAATTCCCAATACGATGACGACGGGACTCTTTTTTTGAACGTCTCTATTTCATAAATTGACGGCACAGCAGACTCCTTCAATTTGAAATCCATCAGCTTCAAAAAATCTCTATCAAAATGGGCCTAAAATTCATCCTTTTTGTACTGTTTTCACAAGTGAATTTGAATATTTACCTCACATATTGCGGATTTCTTGAAATTAATTTTCCATTCTGGACGTTTCATTGCATTCTTCCATGACATTATCTTTAAAGGATCATTCGGAGAATTGAATAACTTGAATCCCTTTTCTAATGAATTATCGCAATAATTCACGCAGCAGGACATTGAAATAATTTGAAATGCTAAATTTTGGCGGTCATAAAATTTCAAAGTGACAGTGACAGACATTCGGAATAATTAAAAAAAGCGAGCGGGACGACTATGGTGTTTCGTCACATTGTCAGGTGGGCAAACCAAATGAAACAAAATATTAAAAACCCCAACGGCTGTCAGTTTTGTGTCCGGACTCTTGTCCAAGTTATATACAGGGACTCTAGTTGCAGTTAAGTAAATCTCGATTGTGATGAATATGAAGATGACTATCGGAAAATACCCTTTCATAATATATATTAACTTCCATAATAATAATAATGATAATAATAATAAAAGTACTTTATTGAACAATAATGTTCAAATGACTATCAACCGAAGTCTGCCAGCAACTTCCATAAGAAATATAAATTTTGAAGAAATGTTAGGAATAAATTGAATTTCAGTAAGTGATACAATGAATATGAAAAAAATATCTTGATGAGATATGAAATAGGAATACCTAAAGAAACTCACCATTGTGGAGGATGCAATCTATTCTCCCATCATGAATTACTTTTCGTGAACAGTCCTGTAACAAAAGAATTAAATTTTTATCGATATATTCATACAAGACCGATTTCAAGACAACATGTCGGTTTTTTCAAACTTTGATATTTCGAAAGTGTATTAGATGGGATTGTTAAGAATAATGAGATTTCGAAAATGGAATAATATTTCATGATGGCGCTGAGGCTGAGCCATCATCTCATATTCAAACCCTCCAAATTTCATTGTGAAAGTGGTTAAAAAATTAGAAGGGGTACATGGACATTAGACGGGCACAGTATATACGGGAATACATAAGTAGGATAGATCAAATTGAATAAACCTGTCATGAATAATGGCCACAAAAAAACTGTGTCGATATGAATATAATCGAAATTAGTGTTCATATGTCCGAAATGTTAACTGAAAATACATTGCAGAAATACATTTTCCCGTCTACCTCTTTCCCAAGTATACATTTCCCTAGGAATTTGTTTTTTTTACAGTTTTTTTCTTTCGGACCTATCAGAGCTACATTTTAAAAATATTTTCTTGTTGTACAGGGTGTGCTAAAAACACGAAATTTATCAGTTGCTATTTTTTAAATGGAATATCATGTATGTAACTGCATTTTTAGATTCTCCCTGAAAAGCTGCTTCCATCAATTCATCACTCTTGGGATCTAGCTGCAATGATTACCGAGATATAGGGTGTTCAAATTTAGGATTTTTTGTGCCAAATTTATTTATTATTGGTCAAAACGGCTTACATGTCCCTATCTTAACTTTTGATTTACTATTCACTGACAAATCAGGGTGGTTCACGATTCAAAATTCTGACCACCCTGTATCTGTTCCAATTACTCTACCACAAATTATTGTAGGATGTAAAAATGAAAATTACGTGTTCATAAGTTATACTGTACCTATAGTTCTTAGTTTTCGTTCTTCAAAAATGAGTTGTAATTCAAGGAACGCGGAAAAATCATATGTGTAACATGGGCATAAAGTGCCTCTTCCTCTCTTGAATGATTACTGCCCTCAGCTACGCGTCGGGCAGTAAATTTCATCCTCGGAAGGAAAAGTAGCACCTTCCTCCCTTGTGACATAAATAGCTATTGTTTACATTTTGAGTATCAGTATGATGGTAAATACCTAGTGTCGATACGAAATGTCAAATTGATATTCGGACCAATATGGAATTATTCTTATTTTTTTAATGCTATCAGAGGTTTCTCCTCCAATTGAATCGACCGTACACAACGAAATCTAATATGTGACTGATGAATGGCTTGGCTTGATTCATTATTCCAATGATTAATAAGTTACGTTATTCTCCAAACCGATTAATTCCCGAACAGTAAAATTGTATCTATGACAGAAGATGATATGGAAAAATAGTTTTACAGGGGGGGGATAAGAAATTTCGGAAGTTTTTCGAAAATATCTCATGAACCTCTATATTCAGTACTCTCGTAAAATAAGGTTGCCATTGAAAAATACCGCGTTGACGTAGTTTCTCAGACACGAATCATTCTATACAGAATGTCCGGAGAGAAATCATGTCATTAATGGTAGGGCTGATAGAGTGAGCCAAAATATTGTCACTACTTTATGTAAAAAAATGTCTATCGCACTTCGTAACGGAGTTATTGACCTTGAAAGTTTGAATCAAGAAAAATATTTCATGTATAAACGGTTGCCATGGTATCAATGATATTCGGACAACTGAATTAACTTATACTAATGCTCATTTCGATATGTTCACGGGTGTTCAGTGATTATGTTCTATATAGGATGGGACGATTTTTTACCGTTTAGTGAAGGCAAATAGTATACTTTATTTTAATCGATATCTTGTACCGTTTTACAGAAAATCGCATTTTAAAAACACACATCCTGACCATTTCAAAGATAACACGAACGCTATTTACTCTAGTTGCAGTAATTGTCATATAATTGACGTCAAATTAATTTGAAAGTATCTAATACTTTAGTAACACCATGTATGAGTTTAGTACTGATGAGTATGCATGTGCATGGACTTGTAGAAATTCTCAGGCCTATTAATTTCGTAATGATACCTTTCCAGACACTCTGTATATTGATTGCATTTGAAAAAATGCCCGAATGAAAATAAAAGTCGACGGCTTCTAACGTTCTTTCAATTATTCCTATAATTTTCAAAGAATTCATCTACTTCACGAGGGCACTTAATTCAACGAACGCACAAAGTCAATGTGTAATATATTTTTGAATTCAACTTTTCACGGAGATTCCAAAATTCAATAATATATAGGATGTTTAATTTTAAAAAATTGTTGTGCTCGTCATTACCCAAACATTTAATACCCTGTATTATTATTGAATTTTCCTCGCCGACGGTTCGTAATTATGATAAAGATGTCATTTGCGAAATAACTAGACAACGAGCTGTCATAACAATCACCGAATATTTTCGATATTAATTACAATTACACATGTGCATAAGAATTACCGACAATTTTGCAAGAAAGCGTGTTATCTGAGAATAGTAACAGTTTATTTTCATATTGAATGAATACGAAATTTCAAAATATTCATGTTAACTCAAAACAAAATTGGGAATATTTTCGCAACTTGTTGCATTAATATCCATCTAGATCCTCTGTATAAATAGGTCGGGCGAATTTCAAAATTTTGCCATCGTTATATGGAAATATACCAAGACAAAATACCAACCATGTGATGAATGCCTCCATATATATTATACAAAAACACTTACCATCTTGAAACAATACAACTTTCACACACTCAAATGAAAATACAATCACTAAGCCAAATATGAATTAGAATTTTCCACTCATTAATACTTCGAGTTCTTCTTTTATTATCAGTTGAATCGACCGTATGCGATGAAGTCTAGAACGAGACTGCTGATTGGTTTGATTCATCATTCAAATGACTAATTAGTTACGTCATTCTTTCAAAAGATTAATTCCCGAACAAGTATGACTAACTCCGATATAGATAGTAGGTATACGAAGTGGAGTGATGAGAAATTTAAGGATATTTTCTTCCATTTTCTCATCTATACGAGGTGTTTTTGAAATGAGTTTATATATTCAGCTAATCAATAAAATATAGGCTAACGGATATTCCCATGATATCAGATTTTTGATAATCCTTCTAATTAACGAGAAATTTTATCTTGAAAATTTAATAAAAATCGGGAAAAACACTTTACTGAAGCAATTTTAATGATTTGAGTTCCGCGTAAAAGTGCCTTGAGCAGGTGACGTCAGAATTGCTACAGTGTAGAACTTTGGGTGGAAAGAGAGTCTCAACCTGGATTTCATTTGATTGATCCCTATATTTTTTCCATGGGTGCCATTCGATAGGTTTCGTTTGTATTTATTTCAAAGCCACCTGTCACCCTGTATATAAGGCTGAGATAGGTTAGATATTTCAGAAAAAGTAGTCTCCTTTTTTACGAAGAAATAATATTTTCCTTTTGTATATACAGGGTGATTCATCAGGAGTGGAAAATCTCTGAATTATTGATATTAAACACCAAAATATTGAGATTTAACCCAACATGCCCTATAGAAATTTTGCAGATACAGGGTGTTCAAAGATAGATTTCATTCATTTTTTTAGCTTTTGTCGAATATTTACTTCGAAATTCTGTTTGTTGTAGGCGTTGATCGTGATTGTCATCATTGATAACTGTCTGTTTTTCCACTGTCACTTCGCTAACTTTATGATTTGAAATTATTAAAATGTTATAATCGAAACATCTCTTCAAGAACGAATAACGTAAAAACCGTTAGAGCTAGGAATTTGAAAAAGCAGTACAATTTTCATATAAAATTGAACGAGCTTTCAGATTTTTCACTTGTTTCAATCATCATTCAATGAACAAAAACGATATGATGTAATTTACCAAAGTAACAGAGAGTACCACTAGCGCCTCTATGGGCAATCACAAAATGAGTTTCAAATTGGTATTTCTCATGTCTTAACTAAGCAGTAAACTGTGGCAGAGGCTGCTAACGACAAAGATTCCAGTTTGCTTTGAGATATCGGACCAATGAAAAAACATGATTGAAATGGCGAATCACTATCGGCCTCCACAGTATATTTTTCAGAGAGAAAGGAAGATGAAACTCAAGACAAAAAATAAAAAGTAATGTAAAGTTGGGATTTGAACCCGGGATCTCTCCACTGAACGTACGCACGTAGCACACTAGGCTTTCGTAGTTGTTGCAAAATTATGTACTACAATGTACAAAACATAATCGTATACGTTCATCGAGCGGTCGTTAGGCTCATGCGGAAGTCTCAAAGTAAAGTGGGATAATTAAACTTTGACCCCCTGTAGATCCGCTACTGATGAAGATCGGACTCGTTGATATAATTTATTTAATTGAAAATGATGATATCTATCACCCATTTTATTTGTACCACAAAACCTGAATCGCCCTGTATAAGGTTTGTTCCCGTTCGAAAAAGAAACAGGCAGTCTGAAACCATCAGGAGCCAATGAACTGAATTGAGTTCATTGTCAGGAGCATGTGCAGTTTCACAGAACTGTTGGTATTTTTCATGTTCCGTGGAACTGCGCATATACAATGGTTTCGGACGAGAACAAGAACAAACAACAAAACAAACCCGATGCCAGAGATAAAACATTAAACATTATCCTTTCAGGATAATATGTGGCTTCACGTTCTTCAGTGAAATAGGTAAAACCCACAACTGTTAAAATTGTATAAATAAACAATGATTGTATACCTCAACCTCATCACCTTTCCTCGAATCATAACCATACGCCTATGGTAGCTGAATAGCATTGGTACTGTAAATCATTGGTAGTGGTAGCCACACATCACATTCCAGTTTCCACACAAAGGAAAACAAGATAATTATACAGCTGTGATTATTAATTTTTTGTATAATGATTTTATTTGTATCCAATATGCAAATTCAATGAAAACCTTGAGAACTCTCCCATATCGAGAATAAAAGCAAATCATTTGAATCTTTTCCTTCAGTTTTGGTATTTTCTTTGTTCACTGAAGAGACAATCATTTTTATTCCTAAGATGCGGTTCTGGTGGTGTTTTACGGCATGCCAGTTTGTGTGTTTAAGTGGTTTGATGACACTGACACGTCAAACTCAAGCCGAGATTGTTCAGCAGCCGTCGATTGTAGTAAAAGACATGCGGTATACATTGAATAACGGACGTTCTATGCCTATGGTTGGATGTAAGAAATATCTGTATTTAATAGTTTAAGCACCCATTCACCAACAAAATTAGAAAATCACAGAAAAAATGTTATTGGGAATAAAGAAAATTACCTCTTTTCACAAAAACTCATACTCAGGTCATACGTCATACAGAACCTATTTTAGATAATCATCACATCTCAAGTGAATAGTGATTCTACCAGCACCAGCCCAGCTAGACCTTGCTAGAGATGAATATTATAGTCATAATAGATAACATAAGATGGAAATAGAACACTTGGCCATGTCATTTTTTTTTTATGCAAAGTCAAAGGTGCAGGAGATTTATTAAAATCATCCACCTGTATAATAGCTATATATCATCCTAAAAGATGATGGTGTGCACCACAGATGAACAACAATACTGATCACATAACATAAATAGACATTGCATATAATAGCTATGTCCTACTCACATCCTGCATATTTCATTTCAGATTTGATTTAAAAAATTGTCTGCTCTGGAGTGGAGTAAAAAATATGACCTTATTTTTCAGTTGGCACCTACCAAGTCCAGGGCACTGAATTGATAAAGAATACTTTGGATTATGCTTTGGCTGCAGGTTACAAACTTATAGGTGTGAAAATTCATTTGCCCTCAATTTTGTTTTATTTAAAAGATTGTCCTTTATAGATTCTGCAACAGCTTATAAAAATGAAGAAGATATTGGCAAAGCCTTGAAAGAGCTTCTACCAAAATACAATCTAACTAGAGAAGATATCTTCATCACATCTAAACTAGGTAAATGATAAAACAACTCCTCTCAAATGTCTAGTCACCAGATTAGGTTCTTTCTCATCTACTGTTATAGGTACCTAATGTTAACTTCTAGGGGTAGTGATTTCCTTTCACATCTAAAAATATGGAGAAAGTTTCTCTTGAATTTTGAATCAGAAAGTTCTTGGTCAGACAATAACAACATGGAAGTTTTTGGGAAGATACATTAGTTGGTAAATTTAGCAACACATTGAAAGTGTATTCTTACTTTTCAGCTCCTAATGATCAAGGTGAAAAAGCATATGAAGCTCTAGAGAGATCTCTTAGAAAATTGGATTGTGGATATTTAGATTTATATCTCATTCACTGGCCTGGATCTTTCTCTGTGAACTCATCAGATGTGAGAAATAAAAAACTGAGGGATGAGAGTTGGCAACAGTTGACAAAAGGAGTTAAAAATGGTTTGGTGAAGAGCATTGGTGTATCTAACTATAACTCTAGGCAATTGAGAGAATTGCTTGATAATGATCATGGTATAAAGCCTACTGTGAACCAGGTATAAAAAAGTGGTGATGGTAAATCATAGACAATATATTCATAAGGAGAAATTAGCTCCTTCATAATATTATTGTCTATAGCTAAATTATGTTGTGAATAAATGCCCAGCATGAAGGACACTTTTCTCTCTCTGCTTTATATTCTCCACCTTCATGAAAAATTACTGTTCTAGTTGCATCAGTTCAAATGAAAATTATCATATTTAAGGTTGAGTGGCATCCAAACTATCACCAAAAAGAACTCCTTGACTTGTGCAATAAAGAAAATATATTGCTTCAAGCTTATTCATCTCTAGGAGGAACTGGGAATACAAATCTCATCAACAATCCTGCTGTTAAAAAAATTGGAGACGAATTGGGAAAAAGTCCAGCACAGGTAATGCAATCATATTGGTTATTAATAACACTCATTCAATCTTTTTTTTGATTTCAAGATTCTTTTGAGGTGGCCTCTTCAACACAATGTTGCAATAATTCCTAAGGCCCGTTCCAAGAAACACATTGAAGAAAACATCAATATTGACTTTGTTATTCCTGAAGCTGACATGAATATTCTTGATAATTTCAACCAAACTAAGTATGCCTGGAATCCAGACGTAGTTGCTTGAATCTATGCAAACATGTTTTAAACTCACATTATAACCTAGATTTAAGTTTAATGAAACTAATATTTTTATATATATCAAATGGAGACTCAAGATGATTTTCATGAACATATTGCAAATTTGTGTATTGGACATTTCAAAACTCTGCCTAAATCAGGAAAACCTAACCTAAATGAGTGGACTGTTTTGTCCTGTATTGTTATAGAAAAAGACAAACAACTGGAACTAATTTCATTGGGCACTGGATCCAAATGTATAGGAAAAGTGAAAATGTCAAAGAGTGGGGATATTTTGAACGATTCACATGCAGAAGTCATGTGTAGACGATCATTTCTAAGGTTTTTATACTACCAAATGAAAACGGAATCCTCAATATTGACATTCAAGAAAGAAACTAAAAAATTTTCTATAAAAGACAATATAAAATTTCATTTTTTCACCACCCATATTCCCTGTGGAGATGCAGCTATATTCCCAAAACAGAACATAGAAGAATTTGGAGATTTCGTTAACAGTCCAGACGAAGTTCCTTCTAAAAAAAGAAAAATTGAAGATATATTCAGAACAGGAGCAAAATGCTTGGAGAACGACCCACAACGTGATGCAAAATGTCCAGGCACTGAATATCATGTATTAGGTGTAGTCAGAACAAAACCTGGTGAGAATAATAAATTATCATTTTTTTAAGTTGTTAAGCGAAATTATCTTCAAGATAAAGAGGAATCAAAAAATGGGAAAATCAAATTTGTGATATTACATTTATGATTGAAGCTTTTGCTATAGAATCAACTTCACACTTAACCTTATCAAACATGGGAATGACTGCAACACTGGTGGGGTTGAACATTTTTGGTTTTGGTCATAACAAAAAAGCAAACATGAATGATTCGATAAGTTGTTGCAATGTATATTGTTCTAGTATTAGGTTGTTTCGAACACATGCATCCAAATTTTTCATTCACACCATATCCCATAATATTCACTAGACTATGAATTAGGATATTGTGTACAAGTACAACCTCATTTTATTTTCAAGGTAGAGGAGACCCTACTCTTTCAGTCTCTTGCAGTGATAAGATGGCCAAATGGTGTCACTTAGGCATACAGGGTGCTTTGCTATCAATTCTTTTAGAGGAACCAATATATCTTTCTACTCTTACTATTGCTGGTGAGACACCATTTTGTGAACAATCACTGGAACGTGCTCTGTACAAGAGGCTGGGAAATGTTCAGTTACAGAAGCCATATCAAGTAAATAAAATGGTTGCTAGACAAACTATGAAAAAGTTCGAATTTGCTAAAGATTGTTCCAGAAAGCCTTGTTCTAGTAGTGTTTCGTGGTGTAACATCAATGAAAAAAGGTAATTCTGTGCCCCTCATGAATATACATCAATGCATTCTAACCTAACAAAAACCACCCTGAATAACTTTTGAAGCGTTTGTTTTCAAGAAAAATGTAAAAACGCAGCATAAAGAATTTACAAGAGATCTTCATTCACAAAGCCTATCCGAATATGGAAAAATATATTGTTGTTCGAAATTCTTGAATTTCACAGCTCATTTCAAACGTACCGTTAAGGCCGCCATTCGGCGATACGTCGAATAAATGGTGACGTCAGTTTTTATGCTGTCTCCTTATTGGTCAGAAAATCTTCCATTGCCACTCAGGAAGCAAGGTTCCTAAGTCACCAATTATAATTAAGTTATCAAAAAGATGTTACGAGTCCTGTCGTTGAATGAAACATAATAGGAGGAACCCATGATATTGAAGTTAATTATTGACTTTTTCGAGCAACCAGCATGTCCAAATATTTCTTACACTCCATGACAAAATATCATGTAAAAGTTGGAGACTTGGCAACATTGACAAGACCAATTATTATATTTACACAAATGTATTATAAGCAATGCAATAAGTCACAACACATGAAGGAACATTTTGAGACGATTGATTTTTTAATGTTGATTAGGAATATTAACAATACATGGGTAATCGAAAATTTATATATGGATTATTGAATAACTAATATTTCTGAAGATCCCAATCGTACTTCAACATTTGGCCACTGTGCTATGGTATGCCCGTACGAAATCGTGACGTCAGTTTTTACTCGCGGTAAATTTCTAGCCGTTTGAAAATTACCGTGATGATTTTGGCACCTTAAAATCGACCGAATTTTTTTCAACAATATTGGTTTCTATTCAAAATAAGAAAGTTGGGGCCGACTGTTGACGCACCCTGTATAGCTGAAGGACTACAATTTTAGATAACCGATTATAACATCATACGAATCTTCAAGTTTTCCATCCAACTTATAACTACAATGTGTGGCTTACGTGGTGAATCACCCTGTATACGGTGTTCCGTTTAAAAAAATAGACGGGTGAATACCTATATCCATAAAGATGCGCCCCTGCATATGCGTTTTGACGTGAATTCAAGTTATTTTTCAATATAACCGTTGATTGATATATCAATCAACGATATAACTAATCAAAATTCAATTAGGGTGGATAGTTCTATCTGCAATGCACTGTATTTGAAAATACTCAATTTCAGTCTAGAAGTTGCAGTTGAAGGAAGAAGACAAGGTGTTACTAAAAAGAAACTGGATACAGAAGCAGGAAGATTGAAAATTTGTAAACTGGAACTGTTCAAGACATTCATGCATATTTGTGAATCAAAAAATATTCAGCTGAAAAACGACTGTGATAACTGGACAATTTGTTATGGTGATGTGAAAAATTTAGCAAAGTGTTATCAAAATTCCTGGAAACTTGTTAAGGAGTGCTTCAAAACGTGGCCTTGTAAAGACGAAAATCTTCTTGATTTCTCTATTAAATGCTGAAACACATCAGTGCTGTTTTATTATCACTTGATAGGTATAAAAAATACACACCTAAATTTAATTTATTTAAACTCTAGAGACGCCTCTAGTTCTAAGATGTTCATAAGATTCGTTCACTTTCACGTATTGAAATGCTAAGCAAACATATCTGGATCTCGATTTTTCTTCAAATATGTCACCATTCATTAAACGAAATGCTGAATAATTAAACTATTAAAAATTCAGGTATTACGTTTCAACACTATCTGAATAAATTGTCCGAAGAATAAAAAACACAAAATTAAATTGATCCGCATTAGGAACTAGGATATCTAGAATCCAGATTAAAAAATCATTTGAATATTCTCTTTAACGTCACATGGACGAATTCAATGTACACAACACTGCTTGGCTCGTACACTCCAACAAAACGGATGAAGCTGGGCGACGAGCCGAAGCTTTAGCCATCACTCACGGCTTAGAGCAGCTTATCAAGAAACCTACACGAATTCCCCCGTTGTCAATAATCATTCAGCAAACACACTCGACTTATTCCTCACTAATAATTCAGCACCTTACACCATTAGATGTGCGAACTCCACTTGGCAGTTCTGATCACACACACACCTCCACAACCTGCCCATTCTTCATTCCATCAATTGCCCTAGCACACACAACATGAATATGGAATGGAATATGGCAACAATTCTCGAATGGGGATCCAATAATAACTTGGTAGATTTCAATGCAAACAAAACACAAGCAAGCCTTTTCTCTAGAAAAGCCGATCTCACTGTGCCCAACATAACCTTGTCAGGAGTAACCGCATACCTTTGAAGACATCCATTTCGATGCTTGGTATTACTATCAGCAATAACCTTTCTTGGGAAAATCACGTGAGATCAATTGCTAGAAGTGCATCCCAAAAACTTGGTTTTCTGTTTCGGACCAGGAGCTATTTCACTTCCAGTCAGCTGCTTATGCTTATCTATAAGGCACAGATCCGACCTGTCCTGGAATAATGTTCCTATATTTGGAGTGCAGCACCCAAACATCCCTGAAACTGTTGGATTCTCTCCAAAAACGGGCAATTCGTCTCGAGGGTGATGCCTCGCTCACAAACTCACTCACTTCTCTGGAACACCGAAGGAAAGTTGGCGATCTGGCTCTATTTTATAGATATTTCCATTGAATATCAACAATTGTTCCTCTCTTGGCAGTCCCCGCGAGATTAACCTGTCGAGTTGAGGCTTCGCACCCCTTCGTGGTCACTTTGTAGACCTGCAAAACATCTCTTTCCAAAGACTCGTTCATCCAACGAACAGCGAGGCTCTGGAACCCATTGCCAAGAGAGGTGTTCCCCGAGACATATAACCTCCAGAAATTTAAGAAGAGTACCAATTCCTACCTCATTTTCTTTGGTTCTCACGATGTTCTCTGAACATCACCATATTCCTTTTCGTGGGAACCAGAACATAAAAAAAACCTCCACAGCTTGTATGGCATTATAACTCAGGAGACTGGGACGGTCTCAGCATGTTTTTCTCCGAGTTTGCTTTGCATAGAATATGCTTTGATTCTGAGAATCCTTCACAGTGTGGCACAGTAATGTTAGAGATCTTTACGCTTGGAATGAACACATATATACATACCTAATTCTTCGAATCTGTTGCCTTGACACAAACATCCTACCATCGCTGGCGCAAGGACCCTCATGACTAGAGCAGAATATGTTGAAGCCAGGAATAACTGCAGCCAAACAATAGATGCATCAAAAGAATCGTATAATGCCAAAATAAGATCAAAACTCATAGATTGTCCCAATTTCTCCCGTTCGCTTTGGTCCCTCGCAAAAGCAGACGGAAGGAAGTTCACTAATAGTTCATTATTCCCACCACTCTCCAAAGCGGACGGCACATTAGCAACAACATCGCAAGAGAAAGCGATCCTTTTTGCAGAGATGTTTGCAGCAAACTCCACCTTGGGCTCCTAGAGAAGAGCGACGCCATACATTCCACCTGTTGAACGCACTATCAGACGCATTCTGCTCGGTCTCAAAACGAATACGTCTAATGATCCTGATGGAATTCCACTCATTATTCTCAAAACGTGTGCACCAGAATCGACACCTTTGCAAGCTTTTTACCATCTCCTACCAGTCGGGTATTTTTTCATCTTACTGGAAAGTAGCTATAGAGTCCAACCAATAATCCCAGAAAAAAGGTAACCAGAAGCCTGCCCAACAACTATAGGCCAATTGCATTTAGCTCATCAAATATCTAGAAAGCTCAGGAATCATTGATGATTGACAATATGGCTTTCGCCACCGAAGATCAACTGGAGATTTACTTGCCTACGTCACCCATATATGGTAAGCTTCATTAGAAAAACATGGGGAATTTCTAGCTGTGAAGTTGGATATACCGTGTTTGGCACCAAGGACTATTCCACACATCATCATACGGCTTACCACCTCCGCTATGCTATCGCATCGCTCCATGTGGTAGTGGCCGGAATATCATCTGATACCATTGCCATCAATTTCGGCGACCAATTTTGGCACCAACATTGTTACTACTTCATATCAACAATCTATTGGGAGCAACCACTTGCCCTATTCACAGTGCCGGATTTAGGGGGGGGGACTATCAGCCCCCGGCGGTGAATTTCAAGAGGCGGTAGAGGAAAAGAGAAAAGAGGAAAAGCAAGCAGCAATACAGTCGTTGACTGGTTGAGATACTGTTTTTGTGAAAATCATAACATGCACTAATCTAGCGTCAGCTGTGTCTTGGACGCTAACAATTACTAAAGCGGCGGCGGTACATACTTTTATTTGATGATGTGAAGAAAAACCGCATTTTACTCAGTAGAATTAGAGGTAATTTCGTGATTCGTCTAACTCAATAACAAAATACAAAATCAGAGTTCAGTATTCAATAGGTTGTCGTTGGTATTGTTGGTAATGGTACTAATAATAATAAATAAATATTGGAACTGAAATTTAAGAAAATGAGTAAAAAAGAAGGTGGTGCATTCTGGAAACGGTAGAAGATCAATTAACAAAAGCAGTTAGACTAAATTGTCAAGAAATGCCCTAAAATACATTCGTTTTTCCTAAATTCAATTGAGACAGAATCAGAACCGACAGAACCGTCTTCGGGAATTTCACGATCTCAAGACGGGAATGGTATGTTTCATATTCATTTATATTCAATACGCGAAAAAGAAGAGTTAGAATCTCAAAAATAGATGATCAAAATATGAACACGACTAGGCGTTGTTTTAGGGATAATCACAACCAATTCCTTATTCATTGAATATTGGCAATTACTGAGAATTTTTTTACTATCCCTGATGATTAGTAAATGCCAGTGGTGAAAGGTAATTCTCAACTTTAAAAAGAGTGAAAAACTACCTTAGGAATTCCATAGGAGGATATATTGAATATCTTATCAATTTTGAGTATCAACAGTGACATGTTATTAAATCTGAATTTTGATGATGCCGTTGACGACTTTGCATCAAAAAAATCAAGAAAGGTATTTTAGTATTCATCTGAGAAAAATCTTTGTCGTTTGTTGTTATGTTCAACTTGTGAAGTAAACATAATTTGATTTGTTGCATGATGATTTCATGTTATTGTTACATGCTGTAAAAGAAGCAGTGAAAGGATTATTTGAACTTTGAATCTGACAATTGAAAATTAAATATTTGGCGGTCGCGCGGCGGCATCGTAAAAGCACCGAACATCAACAATCTTTAGTTGATGTTCGGTGGTAAAAGTTAGCCCCCGTCGTAAGGGAGTATAAATCCGGCACTGACTATTCACAACTTTGCAGGCGATAGTACTCTCCTTACTGCGTTCTCTTCTAGAATTCTCATTTCTTCCCAGAAAATTGAGAACTTACGACGAAGGCAGGCAATGAAGATCTTGCGGAAATTACAACCTAGTTGTTACAATCTAGTTTAATTCAACGCTACCATAACTGAAGCCTGTATTTCCTCTGAAAAGCGGAAGTCAGTATATGCTCGATATAAGAATGTCTGGTACCACCATTCCCACCCAGACCACTATATCTGAGCTCGGTATTACCATCAGCAATACTTTCTCATGGGAAAATCATGTGCGATCCATCGCAAAAGCTGCTCCACGCATAAACTCGGATTCTTTTGTTTCGTGCGAAAATTCACTTTACACCTCAACAGCTTCCCAAGCATGCTCTACGAAGCACAGATACGGCAAATTTAAGAATACTGTTCTCATGTATGCGGTTCAGCACCCAAAATTACACTGATGCTTAGATTCCATCCAGAGCAGAGCCATTCGTTTGGTGGGTGATGCCATCACACTCACTAACTATTTGACCTCATTAGAACACCGTAGAAAAGTCGGCGACTTTTTCACGGGAAATGTTCCTCAGGAATCTCTGCTATAATTTCATCACTCACAATACCAGTCGGACGAACTCGACAGGCCCAGTCAGCACTATTTTGACGACTTTGCATCAAAAAAATCAAGAAAGGTATTTTAGTATTCATCTGAGAAAAATCTTTGTCGTTTGTTGTTATGTTCAACTTGTGAAGTAAACATAATTTGATTTGTTGCATGATGATTTCATGTTATTGTTACATGCTGTAAAAGAAGCAGTGAAAGGATTATTTGAACTTTGAATCTGACAATTGAAAATTAAATATTTGGCGGTCGCGCGGCGGCATCGTAAAAGCACCGAACATCAACAATCTTTAGTTGATGTTCGGTGGTAAAAGTTAGCCCCCGTCGTAAGGGAGTATAAATCCGGCACTGACTATTCACAACTTTGCAGGCGATAGTACTCTCCTTACTGCGTTCTCTTCTAGAATTCTCATTTCTTCCCAGAAAATTGAGAACTTACGACGAAGGCAGGCAATGAAGATCTTGCGGAAATTACAACCTAGTTGTTACAATCTAGTTTAATTCAACGCTACCATAACTGAAGCCTGTATTTCCTCTGAAAAGCGGAAGTCAGTATATGCTCGATATA